ATATACCTAGAAAAATACAAGAATACTGTTAAAAGAAGAATCCATACCGGGATTCGAACCCGGAACCCCTTACAGGACTAGTTCTGTCCCGACCGAGATTGCACATCATCTACTGAATAGATTCGTACCATGATATATAAGTTATACGTGTAATTTCAAGTATGTTAATTAGATTCAAACGTCTTATTCATTCGCAAGAAATAGCAACCATACTTTATAGGATGTATGAGTATTATGGTATTTAAAAGGAATATATATGATTGTTATTTCAAAAAAAAATTGATCTATGTAATAAATGCTGACTTATTTTCTCGTTTTTTTTTAGGTTTTTGCCTTGTGACTTTTCACTTATAATTTATCACTTTTTACTTATGACTTTTATCTTTTGACTTATAACTTTTGCCATTAAATTTTGCTGTTACTCTTTGCCTTTGTATAAACATTAGTTTTACTTGATTTTAGATTGCAAAATAAGCAAATTTGTGATACAATCACCAAACGCAAGGGAGCACATCAGCCGAGAGTGGTGTTGAAGTCATATAATGTTTACATGTACATTAAGCCACTAGCCTCATTTTTTGCATTAGAATTATTGCATTCATATGTTTTTATCATAGTTGATCTTTTTACGTGAAGAATCAACATCAATTGTTTATGTGAAATCAGATGTATATTAGTTTTAATTCTCGTCATTTATTTTTAATTGCCGTCTGCAGCATTAAGTATTAAAGTAAGTAAACTATTCTTGATAAATAACGATTTTTTTTATTCAGATTAAACAGTTCTGAACTATTTTCTAGATGTGAAGCTTTATTACAAATTTAATTAACATTGTAAAGAGGGTACAAGCGTTAGGCATTATAATACATTAAATTAAAGGAGATATTTTTACGGAATATTATTTAGTAATAGCTTTTTAAGGCTTTGTATTTTGCTACAAGTTGCGATGGAAAATTGATATCTCGCGAGACCGAATTAAGGTCGAGTGAGATATCAATTTTCCAATGTTGCAGGTAGAAAAATGCATAGCCTCAGAAAGCTACTACAACATAATTTAACTTTTTTATAAACTTTTTCGTTTTAAGTAAAATGATTTTCATTAAACTACCCTTCTATAAGAAATTTCAGAAAGTGAAAAATAAATTTACGACTGACGGATGAACACGTACTTTATACAAAACCGGCGACGCCTCTTACAATTTTGGTTCCCGTTTCCTCACAGCTAAGATCGGAACCAAAGTCAAAAATAATCCGGCATTTCCATATATGGTTCCGTATTTGTCACTAACATAACACGGAATTTTCTATCCGTTGGAAGAACATTTGTAGGTATAAAATAAATTTTAGAAAACGGTTTTGACACAGATATGACTTGAAAACTCTTGATGATTTCTACTTCAAACTTGTACATGTACTTATTTACATTTTCATATTATATCTGGTCCTGATTGATAAAAATACATTGTCCTCATTTGTTGACAATTTATTATTGTGTTATTGTAACTTTGTTATAACCAAAATAAACTTGCAATTTACCACCGGAATAAACAGTATTTAAATGTTACAGAGAATTTATTTATCTATGTAGAGATAGTGTTCCATTAAGATTATAAGTAAGAGGTTGAAATGAGCAGAGAAGAAATAGAATCGCAATCACTATAGAAGTAAACTGTGAGGAACCAGCCAACTCCCTCAACAGACTATCTAAATATACCTCTACTGAGAGACCACACTACCAAAGGTTTTTACCTCACGGTCTAGACCGTCACAGGTTGGCAGAGCTATCAATAATGTTTTGGAATAAATGCGTTTAAACAGATAACAACAAACAATTTTTATTCTACAACCGTGCTTTATTTTATTTAACAAAATTGTTGTCTTATAAGAAACAAATGTATTAGATAGGCAAAACAAACTGAAATTGAGCTTCATTATATTTAATTTATAAAAAGAGATAAGAAATACAGAGGTTAGCATTTTTTCTAAAATAGCACATGTGCCTTACTTAGCTTACACTTAGGAACAGCTAAAAATAAACACTGCCACCAACAAAAACTTCAAGTATTTACGTCACAGATGACATATATACATGCAATAGTTCTACAAAACAACACATTGTTGATACGTTACTGATGAAAAACTAAGACAATCATGAGTGTTCTAACGAAGCTTTTGAAAACATAAGCTAAATTAGGTAAACTTGCAACGCTAGAGTGTCTGTATTATTATTGAAGTCAAGATTTTTAAAATCATTGTCAGAGCGTTATTTCTTATTTCTAAATGTTCAAAAGAAAGAAAAACCAAACAAACAAACAAACAAAAAAACCAAAAACAAACACAGTCTCTAGCTAAAAATTTCCTAGTTAACTTTAAGAAACTGTATATATTGTATAATATATATATTAAATAACGTCCACAAGTTTTTTTTTCGAAGAATAACCGACTTTATATGGAAATCTCATAGTCTTTCCCAACCCACAGCATGTCGAAAAAGGGAATGTTTAACTTAGGAGAACGATTAAATGTTATAATCAAAAGTTTTGTTAACAACACAAGGCACTCTGTCTCGCCGAGATATATCTGCCAGTAAATTCAAGTTGATGCCTTCAACAGTTTTTGAGATAATTATGAGTTTAACAAAATGTAAAAATGAAAAAAAAAAAAAAAAAAAAGGGGGGACTTTCTAAAAGTATGATAGCTATGATAGCAAGAAATATGTATCTTTCTGCCTCGCCAAGCTATATGAACATGCAAAGTTTGATTTCGATACCTTTCTTTAAGTTTTAAAATTTTCAACGGGCAAATACTGAAAATTATGAAAGCCAGAATTATGAATACATGATTTTTCACACTTTTCTCTGTCTCACCATGACCTGTCTATAGATACAAGTTTTATACCATATTGGAGATATGGACAGTATAAAATAAACGTGGCGGGACGTTACATTGCGTGTTCCCAATAAAGCGTCCACAATAAGTCATTGGGTTAAAACTTAAAAATTATCGAGCGTCTGAAACAAGTGTGAAAAGCTAACACTTGTATTCCGCAAATGTCTGAATAATTACATAGACAATAACGAAGAAAACCAAATCACCAGTGTTTAGAAATTTTGCATTTGCTAAACTGTACTACTTTCCACTCAGAAAGGACGCTGTTTTGCAATGAATCCTCTTAGTCTTCTAAACTGGCTCCGAAAACTTGACAAATATGTATTTCTGATGCTCTTGCAACTGTTTTGTAGTTGAAACCATTCGACAGCACGTCCTTAATTCCTACAGGTAGCTTTACTAGAATTAAAATTAAAAACATTAAAAGTATGTGTTATCTCAATTGAAATAAAATACATATACATACAAAATGAAATACAAAAAAAATCCCTTAATACATAACTGTATACAAAAGTTTATATACAAATAACATGTACTTTGTACTTGGTAGGTGTCCTAAGTTATTGATGAAAAAGTGAATAAAGTTTCAACATTATATCATAACTGGTTCATGGGACCATATTTCATAAACCTTCTGACAAAACATTTAAGCTTTAAAAATGGGCATAAGTATGTCAAATTGTGAGCCACTCATACGAACTTGGTCATTGACCTTAGATGTCAACACTTTAATATGTGTTTTAAGTTTCAAAGGAATCACTAAAATAGTGTTTGAGAAACCATTTTTCATGAAAATTCTAAACCATAAATTCAAAGTCGAAAAAGAGGCATAATTTGATAACAATGCAATTCAGAGATTTATAACTTAGAGCGTGTTTTTAACAAGTTTCAAAGCTGTATGATTTATTGGTTTTGAAATACCATGTTTCATGAAACTTCTTAACTACAAATTTCTATGTCAAAATAAGGCATATAATTTGGTCCATATTCAGTATTAGATGGACGAAGAATGAACTACGGGTTGAACCGATTGAAACTGCAGCAAACAACAATTCGAGACTGGTTTGGATTTAAAACTGGAACCCATATAAAAAATAAAGTGTTTGATTCATACGCTGTATGTCAATTTGAGATTATATATCCCTGTTCCGGAAATCAAAATAAAAAATGGATACCCAATGCAATGAAATACAAGCAAAGTATTTTCTTTTCTTAATCAATTAAAAAGGCTTATATAAGAATAACATTCTCTTCTTGCATATGAGCCCACATATTTTGTGTTTTAAATAAGTCTCCAGGAAACTTAGGTAAATGAACTTACCTCGTCTGAATTGTTGTCATATTCTGTCATATTTTCCTTTGAAATTATGAGGCAAGCACGTGGAACAATAACAAAATCCATAAGTCAAAAATCAAAAGTCATAAATCAGAAGTCATAAATCAAAAGTCATAAGTCAAAAGTCATAAGAAAATAGTAAAATAAATCTATAAGTCGAAACTCAAAAGTGACCCTCCAAGGCTTCCATAGATACCTGCACTCCAGTTAACGCACTGTGTATGTACATTTGTGTATATGTATACGATTTAACTCTAACACATTTTCTACAGAAAGGTCCCCAAACTATGATACAAAAGCGTTATATATAAAACGCATCGCCAAATAGCTCGGTATACGCACAAAAACATCAACATTGACATGAAGAGCGGGCGATATTTTACATATCACACAGCATATGGCGCAACAGTAAACATATGGAAAAGACAATTCCTTAGGCAGATAAATCTATATAAGAAAATGTGAAAATGTGGTGTTGTGTTTTCTGTCTCTACCGAGCACATTGTGTTACATCTTATTTTTCCTTTGAAACAAATTCTGCTTGTAATTTAATGCGCCTAGTCGTCTGTCCATCCGTCCGTCTGTAATCACATTTGTGTCCGCTCTGTACCTTTAGAAATGATTGAAGGAAGATGAAAATACTCGGCACATATGATGTGCATAGCTCATGCTGGTATTTTTTCAGCTCAATGTCTGGTCTGTATCTTTTGAAGCAATTGATGAAAACTATTTACATTACTGAAGGTCTTAGACTAATTTATCTATTTTTGTACAGATTGTGATAGAAAGACGGAAGAGGGAAATGGCGTGCATGACAAACATAATAATAGTACTGGAAGTTCATTGTATTGCATGGGACACGATAGATTATTTTGTAAGTCATGTGAAGAGAGAAAATACAGGTAATTTGATATGTATTTATATATTTCTTTATATGGTATATCATCGTTTAAAAGATGTGAATTATAAATAACACTTACTTTTCAAATTGGTAAAACTTTTCACAATTATTTTAGAAAATATTATAAAAGAAACTGTTTTGTTACATTGTGTTAGATGAAAAAATGAATGCTTCATAGTATACTTGATTCTTGTTAGCACGCAAAATATAAAATATAATTAGGATGTGTGTGTTGTTCAAGTAGAGAGCTCTTAGGCGGTACATTATTCGTGTATTTAGACTTTTAATAGGAGGTTTAGGTTCAAACCTACATGGAAGCAACATTTTCTCTTTATCTATACTCTCTTTTCATGTATGTATCATGGTTGTTTATTGAAATCAAACGTCAATTCTTTGGTTAAGAAAGAAATGTATATTTTCATATCATGTTCATAGTTTTTGAGTTCAAACGAGTATAAAAGTATGAACAACTGAAATAACTGAATATTTTTTTCCAATAAGTATGTTCATGATCATGACCGAGTGATTAATGTTGTTGGCTTCAAAGCACTTCCCCCTCAATGCGTTGGGTTCAAATTCCCACTGAGACTTTTAGCTGGAGTAGCCGAAACATATTTCTATCATGTCCGGCTGTTTCGGAATAAATACAGTAAAACCCGTGCAAAAGACCGTTTGTTTATTCCATTCCATATAATTCCGCTGGTATAGGTGTGTCCGTCTTGAATATTCAGGAATTTTAAACATAGTTTATTCCGAACAAATTCATAGTATATAATTATACAGATAATATCTAAAATAATGTACATAAAACAAACATTACTTGTTGGAAAAGGATTTGGTCCGTAAGATAAGCTTAAAAGGACTTCTTCTTATAGTTTTACAGTGCATAAAAAACGGTGTGACTATATACGTGACTATCTTAAAATGTATTTGATTTTACATTCTTTTTTAAGTAAGTAAAGTCTAAAATGTTTCTAACATTTAGTTATGATATAAAGCAAAAATATATACAAACAGAAAGAAAGAATGAGAATACATGACTGCATCTTTTTGTTATATAAAACTAAAAAATAAAAACCTAAATTAAGATAGTAAGAAATATAAGGAAGAAACTTTCAGCAAAATAGAAATAAAGAAATTACTGAAATGTAGATAATTCGGATAGTTCGACGATTTGAATAGGAAGCATACAGTGATTTGAGCTAATGTGAATATGATCAAGAGAATCTGTAGGTAGTGACGGCTTCAAATAGTATTCTGTTTGCATCATCCCTAATGTTTGGGTCTCCATTTAATAATGTTTTGAGAGTTGCTGAACAAACGGTAAAGTGTTAAGAAGAGAGCCCACTTCTGTCAACATAGCGCTGACATTCAAAGAAAAAGTGTTAATTCCTTTCAACTATGCTACATTGATAAAGAGGAGATAGAGACATATTTTGTTCTGACGAAGTTCGTCTGTTACCGGCTTGATTTCCTGTAAAATTAACAGGGATGGACTGATTATAAGAAAAAAACACATTGCTTATTTTAATATTACAATCTGAAATCGGTGTATCTCACAAAACTTCATAAAAATCTGGCCCGCTTCGAGTTGCAAGTTCGCTATAACTTTCGTTTTACAAAATAGTTGTGCAAGCAACATATACCGAACGAAGCGGAAAATAGTGGAGCATGTTAATACATATATCTGGTTTTCAGTCCTTTCCAGCAAAAAGAGGTATAAACAAAAACATACCTTTTTGTTTCAAGATGTTATATATAAGTTAACATAAAGTTATATTTCGTTTGTTTACATTTTGTAGGATACGACGCAGTTTTGATTCCCAGCCCTGACGAATATTAAATCGAATCGTTTTCATTTCTTTTTGTTTTAATGGTTAACAATAAAATTTAGTTTATACAACATTTATGTAAGTTCGATTGTGTTGGAATCTGTAAGCTTATTGAAACACTCTCCGTTCCTGGGTCCAACCAGTACTAAGCAATGAATGTTAAGTTTCTTGCTCAAGAAAACAACAGCTTGCCCCTGACAGGGTTTGATTTCACGCGGTCGGCGATCCTTAGATTTCTAGTATGACGCGTTAACCACTCGGCAACGCCTACGCACAACAAAAGAAAATGTATATCCAACAAATTAAGAACTAGGTAATGATTTGCCTATAATTTAGTGAGTTTTTCTTCATTCTTCAAAAGCTTATTCATTATTTCCTTAGTTATTCACAACGCCTCCCTGGGAAACCGAGATATGACATGATATACATGGATACAGTTACACTAACATGGGATCCACCATCAACAATTGAGGATGGCGACTGTTATCAAATCAGTTATAAAGAAAGTATCCACGAGGAAAATTGGAAGTTTTATCAAGGTGAATTTCATTTTTCAACTGCCGTCATATGCGATTTGAAATCAAATACAGCTTTTGTTTTCCGAGTTCGTGTAGTTAATGAGGATTGCATGGGTCCTTACAGTGAGCAAAGTGATGAAATTTTGACATTACAATCACAAGCTTCAAGACTTATGCACTCATCAGTTCTGATAGAGAAAGGAAATCCGTCACCATCCAAATATGCATTACCATTATCTGAAATAAGGGAGGCAAGAAATGAACAAGCGAAGACAACTAAATTTCAGCTCGGTATGTATCTCAATCATTTTAGTTTTATGTGCCATGTTTAAATTGTCTTTACTTAAGGTCTTTCTATACAGTTGATAAAATATATATTCAAATTTTTCTTACCACAGTTAAAGCGCGTTCCTTTTACAGTATTTTTTAATGAATTGTACCAAAATGCTTAATGCCCTTGTAACGAATAATGTTTGATTTTATTAACCTACAAATTGCATCCTGCTTATACTACAGTGCATAGTTTTTGGAAATGTACGGAACTGAATGGACAGAACTTACATGTATTTATATTCAGTATATTCAGCGACTGTGTATGTTACATACTGCGTAAAAAAGTTCTTCTTTTTCTATGTGTTTTTCCATTCCTTCTATTCCTTTGATGCATCGATTTCTGTGATATTTCTTTTTTATATAACCGTACTTGAAATTCCAGAATTAAGCATTATTTAACTGTGACAAAGTTAAACTTACTTATATCAATATCATAAAAACGATTTTATTGTGTGTAGGTGCACCACCGACAAACAGTTGTAAACCAAAGACAATTATGCTAGTTGGGGCTACAGGAACAGGAAAAAGTACCTTAGTAGATGGAATAGTAAACTATGCGTTACGTGTTCATTGGGACGATCCGTTTAGATTTACAGTTAAAAATGTGGAACAAAAGGTAACACATACAATAAAAAATATCAAGTAAGTGATTATAAGCAGTGAACCGAAGTTTTATATTTAATAAATCGCTAATTTTACAATTATGTTCATTTATTCAAAATGTCAAAAGATTCTAAATTTTAATATGTTTTAATCAAATTGGTCGTTGTAGGTTGTAAATGAAACAGAATGGATAACCTGTTACACACTCAACCCAGAGATGGGAAGTCGTCTTGACTATCCATTAAATATCATTGATACCCCAGGTTTTGGAGATACAAGAGATCTGAAAAGAGATGAGGAAATTGTTCAACAAATCAAACAATTATTTACTGAAAAAGAGCCAAAGTGTCAAAAAGGCATAGATGCAGTTTGTTTTCTCATAAAATCCCAAGATGCTCGTCTTACAGCTGCCCAAAGCTATTGTTTTCAATCAATAATGTCACTTTTTGGCAGAGATATTGAAAACAACATTTGTTCTTTTGTAACATTTGCTGACGACAATGACCCACCTGTTCTAGCTGCTTTAAAGCAATCAGGATTGCCCTTTGGTAAGAGTTTCACAATCAATAACTCCTGTCTGTTTGTCAAGAACTTTGATATCAGTTCTTCTAATTCATCTCCAATGTTTTGGGACATGGGATTCAAATGTTTCCGATCATTTTTTGCTCACCTGGAGCATGTAGAAACAAAAAGTCTTCAATTAACGAGAGATGTTCTTGATCAACGTTCAAAGCTGGAAGCGACAATTAAACACTTGCGGCAACAACTAGACGCGGGACTGTCTAAAGTTAATGGTATGAAGCAGGAGATACAGATTATTGAGCAATATAAAAATGTTCTAAAGGATAATCAAAATTTCGAATATGAGGTAGAGGAAATGCAACAAAAGAAAATAGAATTACCCCGTGGCCAGCATGTCACCAACTGTACCAATTGTCATTTCACTTGTTGCGATAATTGTGATATCGCTAAAAACAAAAAGGGCAAATGTTCTGCAATGGGAAGCGATGGAAAATGCAAGATATGTCCGGACAAATGCCACTGGACGGAGCATGCTAACGCATCGTACATATTTAAATATATAACTGTCAAAGTAATGAAAACATATTCAGGAATGAAAAGACAATATAATGATGTGAGAGGAAAACTTTTGTCACAAGAACAAATAGTAGGAGAGCTTGGAGAAAAATTAAATGGCTTACTAGACGATATTGAAGACAAGATGGTTGCCATAAAAACGTGCAATGAGCGTTTGAAGGAAATTGCACTGAGACCAAACCCATTAACAATAACACAGCATATTGATTTGGTGATAGAAAACGAAAAATTTGAAAAGAAAGAAGGGTTCATGCAGCGGATAAATATCCTAAATGACTTCAGGAAAAGGGCTCAGATTTCTATCGATGTAGAAAACTTCATCAAAATAGCTCGATCTACCCTAGGTGCTGTTGGGATGAAGAGGGACTGAAACACAGATTTTAAAATATTCAATCAAACACATAATCTTATACAATCAGAAAACATGTAGCAAACCGGTCTCTTGTTCCTTCTTATAGTGTATGATAGTACATTGGATAAACATTCAAAAGGTCCTATGTTTTAGTTAATCTCAGGAAAAAAATCTTAATTGAAACATTAAAAATATTACACCACTGAATCTCTGCAATAAAGAGATTGAAATATGACAAATAAGATCAACAAAAAAGGCGGCACTCAGTGAACGCATCCCACAACACCGGAAAGGATCCCAGCAGGACACCAAACAGGACAATGCAAACGCGCAAAAAACGGAAAAGGCCACCACAAACCATTCAAAATAGGAAAGCATAGTAGCCTACAAGGTATCCAAAGAAAAAACTTAATTATAAGACCTACAAAAGGACAAGGAATAAGGGGAGGGGCTGAAGGGTTGGGTTAAAAATGAAAAACAAATAGGGGAAGGGGAAATACGTCCCAAACGAAAACAAAGGGGGGAACAAAAGTGAACCTAAATTTTTGTAAAAAAATAAACAAAAATAATGACAAAAACTTTTGCGAATACAGATGGGCCGCTTGGAACGGCCCAAAAGGCAGATAAAAGTGCTGGGGGGAGTTTAAAACCTTTACCTTTTTAAGACTATTCAATTCTTAGGGAAACTAGGGGTTTTAAATTTGGTGTAATTCGTTTTTGAAATTTTCTCAGGGCATCTGGGGGTCTTAAAAAGGGACTAAAAAGTGCCATTTGACCCTTTACAGTGTTGGTGAGACGTAAAAAAGCCAAATAAACAAAAGACAAGATAAAAAAGACAAGTTATCGTATTTAGCATCACGTATACATGTATCGATTTCCTCACTATAGTTGAAAGCATGCTTTGTCGGGGTTTTATCTGTATAGTTGCTTTGTCCCAGAATATATGCATAATATAGAATTTTGTTACTTTGAAATTAGGAAATAAGTTTATAGTTTTACTCCTGTATACAAATAAACAATTACTTGTTCTTAATTTAATGTGATTTTGTTGTTGTTGTTGTTTTCTTTTTTTTTTCATTTATATTTTGTCTTGCTTTTTTAGACTTGCTCTTTTTTGTCATAGAATAATGTTTTAATACAAATAAGTTTGAAATGATGTCGATGTATATGTTTAATCACAAGGCCATTTCATGCATCGTGATAGTGGGATTTTATAGTCCAGATGACTAATGTGTTGTCTTTCTTACAAAATAATATAGATAATATTTATTCAATGTATATTGTTTTGTCATACTCTCAGTACGGTGTATCCTGTATTATTAAGAGCGGATTAATTGTTATATTTTCTCATATTGATTTTGTGGTGTATACTTTTGCCGCACAAATTTACTCGAATAAGAAATATCAAGATTGTTTTTGTATCATTTTGGTAAACGTATAATTTAGTTTGCTTATTTTATTAAATTGAACAATAAAAAACTAGACATTGTTACATTAATTTGATATATTCCTCTACACACTATTATTAATTGTATTTCATTACTTTTATTATTTATGTCATATTTTTAAATTAATAAAAAGAAAATGCTGTTTTATAGAAAGACATAAACATTCAATAATGCTTTATAAGTGAAAAGTAATCTTTCTTTTTTAATTTTGATAGATAATTGTTTTCTTTTCAAATTTCTTTTGTGCATAATTGCCAACTTGATTTTTTCTTGAAGTTCTATGCAAAATTATTCATTATGTAAACATCAAAGAACAACAAAATTTTATTAATTCTTTGATAGACAACTTATTTTATACACATATACACTAGCCTTATAAATGTATTGTCATCAACAAAATCAATCTAAAAAATGATGAAATGTTAGTGTTCTTTGAACAGCAGAAGTTAACATTATAAATAATGTTGCAAAGGACATCAAGAACAATTCACTAACCTAATGTTAGAAATTGAATATGTATGTTGTTAGGGTAGGATGTATGCGTGTGTGTATGAGAATTGTATATATTAAAACCAACAATCTGCAGGAAGATATATTATATGGACATCCATATCAGAAATGTTTATATAATGTTCAAAAAATATAAACGTTCAAGGCTGGCACATGTATTTGCGAGGAAAAGAAACTTTTTTTTTGATATTGTTTTCTTTTTATCATTTATTTGAAGGACTGTTTACATTAACATTAAATGTATTGTATTAAAAAGTGTTTGGTTTTTGATTTTGGGGTTGCTTAATTTTTTATTTTCCCGTCTTCTTTATGTTGGGTTTTTTCAATGTAGTAAGTTCTAATATTTTTCCCTTTAATTTTTAACCCCACCCAAGGGACTTGGTTCAGTTCGACAGGCTAATAATCGTTGTGTAGTTGATGTTAGATCCTCGAAAACCATATTTGTTTTTTTTTTTAACTAATTTTTTTCTTATAATAAAAAATTTTTTGATTTTTTTTCTAATATAAAACTGTATGTTCTTTTTAAATTTTATAAACTCAAATAAATTTTTTTTAATTTTTGATTGGGGTTTCATTTTGTACATTGATGATTTTATGTGATTAAAATCAAAGAAGTCAAAACTTTGTCACTGGGTAAAATGCAAGTCTATTTTGCGTGTTTTTTTTTTTTTCATTTTTACTCTTTTTTATTTACTTTGAATTCCGTACAGTTTACTTCGGAATCCAATAGTTACCAACAAATGCCTCTGCTCTAAGGTCTATATTGCCAAACAATAGATGTTAACGATTTTTAGTTGCTTTTCCCAGTAACACTTTATTTTGTCTACTAACATGAAATATTCCATATTCTTGTATCTTGACAATGTAACGAAAACGTTTCACAATGAAAACAAAATATAAACCATGTAAACAAAAGATATATGTATATTTATTTGTTCTTTCCATTTGTTAACAGATCCACTTGATAATTTCATTTTAATACCAAAGAAGGAAAAAGTGTTTAATCCATCTAAATTCACTCTATTCTTTAATATATTGTTTTATGAATTTTATCAATGTGAATATAAATATGACATTTTATAAAAGTTGATGTTGTAACAAACGAAAAAAGACTTTATGTTCCTGTTCATTCAATTACAAGTATAATTATAATATGTATCTTAGTTAAGTTTTATGTTCTTCTCTTTTGTAATACTGTATATTTATAGAAAAGTAATCAGATGTAGTACAAAATATTATAGCAGAAAAAATGCTATTGTTTGTTCTTTTAATAATTCCATGTACACTCTTCTATTGAACCTCTATATTAAATCCTTCTATCTGATTTAAATTGACTTATAATCCTATTGTATACATGGAACAGGCCTAATTGGAAATTGGAAAGGGATAATGCGAAATATGCTTTACAGCAAACATCACAGAAAATAGTTTGAAACTCACACCTTGAAGAAATAATAGTGTTTTTATTTTCAGTGCTAGTTTATTTCCAGTGTGGTACAAAGTAAGTGTTTGAAACTCTGCTTCAAGTGACTTGTTCCCGGTCTTCTGAAGAATTAAAGTCACTGTCCATATGTATCATGACAGTATGTTGAAACAAAAGGCACATACTCATTTGAAAGGAAAACTTTCAAGATATTCAAGATGGAGAAAATAATCAGACCAATCATAAATATACCTTTACTTTTCGAAAATATTTCAGCTGGTAATTATAAAAGAACAAAGTGATATTGACCAATATTTAGATCATTCCGGTATCCACAAATGCTTGAACAAAGCAAGCAATGCTGTAATTTATCAATCCGTGACCTTTTGAGTGTCAAACCGACAATCCCGAATAAAACGATGCTGCACCTTCGAGGAGATACTTCCATTACCTTCATCAGTTCTTATTAAAAATAATAGGGAAAAATTGAGGAATGTCCATCGTAGAAATGCATCAAGCGAATTTAGCCTAGCTTTCATTTGACAGTAAATGTTAAATTTACTCTCGAGTTGCAATGAGGTGTACTGGTAAGAAATCCAGGTAATCCTCACATGTATCAGTGCTATACACTGGACATGTAAAAGAACCAAGGGGTCTATTCAATAAGAGCTACGGACTGGTTCCCGGATTCCCTTGTATCTCATAGCTTTCTCTGAAGTGACTAATCTTAAGTCATGTCTCCGTCCCCGCGAGGGGTTTGACATTAATTCAAGGTCGGTAGACAATGGAATACCGGGTTACATGGAATGGCACGATAGTGTCACATTAAAACAGCCATGATAAACGCCGTAAAACAGATATGCGGATGTTTCTAAAATTTCGTGTTTAAATGTTGAATTCTGCCTTAGCCGCTGCTAGGGGGCGTGAATGGTAACTTGCACTCTAATAAGAAAACAAAGCTAATTAAATAGAGAAAATAAAAATCCGTAAAGAAAGTATAAAACGGCAAAATTGAAAATGCTGCAGATTAGATTTGATTGAGCCTGTTCATGGACGGTGTAAAGTGAAAACTACCGTTCACACCCCCTAGCACCGGCTTAAGCCGAATTCAACATTAAACATGAAAATGGCAAAATTTTGAATTTAGAAACATCCGCAGGTGTGTTCATGAAACCTTTAATGTGACACTTTCGAGCCATTCCATTAAAAGCGGCGTATGACCCCAAACCGACATTTCTTTTGGATAAGATTGGAATTGTTAGTAATGAAAAATTCAGCTCAGCTCTAACAAATCCCAATTAAATGAATACCTCATTTACTCTCACATGATGTACATCTACATGTAATTAAGGCTACTAATCTTTATCAAGATCAGGTCAGTTCTGCTTTGAAAGTGAACCTATTAATGACAATTTCATTCATCTTTTATCACAGATATGAGTTTATATGGAATTGTTAGTGATTCCTGTGAATCGGACGACACGTGTTCGATTCAAGCACTGTGCAAGTCACTTTCGTTCGTTCGTTGTGATTGATCGCAACAGGAGCGCTGCGAAAGCGCAAAAGGAACGCCGAATGAACGCCGTGGTTATCCACGGCGCTTGTACGGAGACTGTGCGACGTCTTTACCGCGCATAAACTGCGTGTGTACGGCGCTTTCACGGAGCTTTACGATTTCAACGCAGTGTGAGCGCCGCGAGAGCGTCGTATAAGCGCCGTAAATGCGCAGTGAAAGCGCAAAGAACGTCATAGAAGCGCAGTCCGAACGTAGACAATCGCCAACTAAAACGCCATCGAAGCTCCGTAGCATCGCCATGATCGCCGTGAGCACGCCGTGAAGACGCCGTGCAGTCTTCATGACATCAACAATATTACATTTTTTATTGCGACCTCGCGGCGCTTTGTTAAATTTAACAACGCCGTGCGAACGCAGTGAAATCGCATTCTAGTGTGACAGGGCCTTTTCTGCTGTCATCCGGAGTGAAAACTATCACCGCCACCAACACCATAGTACTGACACTGTGCGTAGTGGTTTAGCAGTTAAAGAGCAAATGATAAGTATTCACAATTCATTTACATGGTATTTACTGAAACGGTTAAGAAATATATATTTATTTCAAATACACTACCATTTAAGACGATAGTGTTTCACCTCTGAACCAGTTGAAGTCAAGTACACAAATTGCAGAAAATGTTCTTTAGATATACTAACAGGTTTTGACTCAATTTGGAGTTGATCTTCATATCTCAATTACAAAAAAAGCCAAGTAAAGTGGAGTGTTCAATATCAAATCAACAGAAACCCTAAAGAACGCTCAAAACAAAATTGAAAATGTTGCACACTCTAGTTTGACTGGACGTTGCTAAAAAGTGCAGGCCACCGTCCACACCCCCAGCATCAGCTATACAATTGTTTATTTTGTAATTTGTTGTACCGTGTGATCATGACGATGTCGCCAAAACAATTGTAATCATCATCATGATCATTAAGTTTCAACTTTTTATATGTTCTCCTTAACTTTCCAGTGTCATGCTGTTTTTTTTTTCTTCAAATATTGAAACTACAAGACCGCCTTCTATAATTTCAATATTATTGTAATAAAATAACTAATACGGTAATAATAATTACATTTTGACATAAATATCGTAAACGTCCACGGTGACTATAATAATTTTTTGGATGTCTTGTTTCTGAATGATTATAATTGAATTTAACAAATAAAGGGAAGTAACACTGATTCCAAATTTATTACTTGGTGATTTACTCTGATTATTAGTCTTTCAAGGTATCTGTCTGTCTGTCTGTCGGTATAATATTAATACTTGTTCCTACTATTTACTAGTTGACATTAAATAAATATAGTACATTAAAAATTCTAAGTTCAAAAGGGGAATATTTATTTCAGAAGTATGTCTGACAAAAACTGCACCTTTTCATGATAAGCAAGTATTCCAAGTATGTTGAATTTTTTTTTTAAATATTTGAATAAAAATATGGTAGTTACATGGGCTGGACCTAAATGTTATCTAGTTATTAACCTTATGGCAAAAAGTGTAAATGGCAATTGTGTTCTCATTTGCAGTATCAATAAACAAATGTATGTGTAATTGCATTCTGGGTGAAATAAGTCATATAATACCATATCAAATACAATAACAAACTTAAGGCTTTATAACGTCAAACGTTTTATTTTCTCAAATTACCCAATATCAAACACCACTTTACTAATTAAAATTACATCATAATAATATAGACTTATACAAATTTAAACATGTATAAGTTGTTAAGCTGTAAAGACTTTCTAACTTAAATTTGAACTTATCTCATCCTACAGGATATCTATACATGCTTGCAGCAGCATAAATTAGTCTCACATTACAGCAAATCTGATCTATGACAATTTTAGAGTCTATCATGTTAAACACTGATAATTTAGATAAAGCTCCCTAAACAATATACACGTAATGAAAATTTAAGTGAAAATTTAAGAAACATAATTGCAAAATATCTAACTCTGTATAATAATGGATTAAATTTAAAAAATGTCCTGTATAACTGTCATACTAACCAAGCTATCTACACTTTGATCGTAACTGATATCAGAGACTAGTTGGACCATATGTTACACCAACAACTCAGACTGTTACACAGATTTACCGGGTAAAAGTTAAAACACAGATTTACTGGGTAAAAGTTAAGCATCATTTAACATTAATACAATTGAACACAAATGATCTTGGCATATCTTAAATAATATACAATACAATGTAAATAAACAAAAACTTCACTACAAAAGAAGTTTAGGACAAATCTGTTTTACAAAGCACTGTGTAATTCTCAAAATGTGTATATACCAACATGATGCTATAAGAAATTGCAACCCCAATAAAACTTAGTCTTTCATGAAAAAATGTTGCAAAAATACAGTGTAGCACTTTTTATTCAGGGAAACTTCTTATATAAATTTTTATATTTACTTTTCTATGTTTCAAAGTTACAAATGAAAAGAGTAAACACAAGTTTTTATTAACTTTTTTACCTTTTTTACCTCTTAGCTTTAGCCCACTTTACAGGTTAGTCAAGTTTTACAAAATAACTCACTTTTAAAGAACCTGGTTATCTAATTACACACTTGAATTACATAAAATGACTGCCATTTTCCCATACAAGTTTGAATTATAATACAACATTAAGAACAAATAATAACGTTTTAAGCATCTAAATCCCAAACTATAACAATATTAAACCTCCTTCGACTCTTTCAATTAGCAAACATTCAACATATAAAAAAACAATGTTACCAAAAATGTGTGGTAAATATATACATTACATAAAATTGAAGGGATGGAATGTGATGACATTTCTAATATGTAACTCCTTATTTTTCTTTTCATGTATAGCATTGCATACTTATAAATGTTGTAATCAAAGAAAACAGTTAAAACTAAGCAACAGTCAGTACATCAGAAATCTTTGGTCTATATTAAATATATGTAGAAACATTTATACTGAAAACCATGTAGCTCAAATCGTTTTAAATAATTCATTTCATCTCCCATATGAAACCAAAAAAGATCATTTAAAAAAAACCTCATTTGAAGTCACGCCAATAATGTTTTGGTCATTGTGACAAAATATTCCTATTTTACGGGGAAGACCTCTGTGTGTTAGACACATACAACACACCTGGATGGAAACTCATATCTTTACACATGAATAATTAACTTCTACTCCAATTTACCTGAACTAATACTACATTTTATTTCATGCTTTCCAGTATTTTATTGTAATACATCAGATGATTATATTCTGATAAACCACTAGTGAAATTTATAAAATATAATTTTCACTGTAGCCGAACTATATTTGAATGCGGATGAAAAGAAAATCATAACTAAATGGAATAACAGGCAGAAATAAATGCCATCATGCGTAAATTTTGCTTCTTTAGGAAAAGAAAGTCGATGTTACTATACATCATGTTAAAAATGTAACAAAGTTAGAGAAATTTAACAGAACTATATTTCAAAATTGATGATGTGACGTCATGATGTGATGACGTCAAAAAGTAGAATGTGCGACGTTACGCGGCAAAATCAATAAAAATACTAAAAATCACTTAAAAAGCATGAAATAAAAAGAAAATTTATTTGTTTTACATATAAGATTGAAATATATTTCATTCATGAACACCAGCTATTATATTTTCACTCGTGGCTTAGCCACTTGTGAAAATATTGCATCTGGTGTTCACTCAGTGAAATTATATTTCAATCTTACATACAAAACAAACAAATATCCTCTATATCCATGTATTTAATAATAAATCCCAGGTTAATGCTATCAATATGCCCCTTTACTACAATTATACTTCTTCACTGTTTTTATTTGATCATATAACAAGACAACATGTGTATTTCACGATAAGTAAACATCTACAATATGATATATCATATATAGTAGTGATGAATGCTGGCTGCATGTAAAAGTAAACATGACTTTTCATAGTATAAATACTGAAAATTAATTAATGGAAACTTGACAAACAAATCAATTAATAATTATAATAAACCTTGATAGAAACCTATCTTGTGCATAATTACATTCTGAACAACATTTTATATAAACACCAGAATTTAATTTAATCAAATAGTTTATAAATCACAGACAAACAACAGTAAAATATGGAACTGATGATCAATTATGTCATGCACATAAGGGTAAAATATTTCCACCTTCATCAAAGAGGAATCCACTGAAATCTTATATCAAACACATATAAGATACTAATATAATGTAAAACATTTCTTATCGTTTCCAACATCAAAACATGAAATACAAATACAAATAAAAGAATCATAAACCCATTTATAAAGTAAACTTTGATTTTCAACTGATGAAATAAATATAGAACTAGAACCATCCTGTGTAAGTAATTACTATATGTTACAATCAACTACGATCATACAGTCATTACATAATAAACAAACACAGCTAGTACAACAATACTGACAGACAATATTAACCAAGTTTTATATTTCTGTAAGAACGTCTCATCTTCAACAACTTCTTGCTGTTTCCTTGGTTTACGAGATTTACCTCTCATCTTTCTCTCATATTTCTCTAATTCAGCTTTCTGTTTCTGTTCTTCCTCTAATTTCTTCTCTCTATCTACTTCTTCCTCTTTCTGTTATACAAAATATAAATATATATGGCGTTTATAAGAAAATCTTGACCTATAATTGTACTGACATAAGAGCATTTTGCTAGGTAATATTCTCACAAGACAAAGACTGCCAGACTGTGATCTTTTCTAGTAAAATAATGATTGCTAAAAGAAAGAAACATATCAAGATACCCTTACAACTTCCCCTTTATCATATACCTCCCTGAGTTTTAACTAAATATTTTACTATAAGGCAGTCTGGATCATATTTTTACGTGTATACACAATATATTTCTGTCATGTCATATTTGTTTATGTGACATATGCTGTATATACAACAAAATAGTATTATAGGTATATAATAAATTAGAAAATACATCATGATCAACTGTCACAGACTTCTTATGTCAACAAGAGCACTCCATGCGGTGTTACCACTAATACTTATATGATTACAATCCAGGAAAATGTAGAAACTTTACTGATTGATGACAATAATACAGATACATAGAAATGATATTAATTACAGAATAATATTTAAATAGATCAAAAGACATATACTTCAGAAAATACTGGACTTCAATAATGTATTACAAACAAAAATAGTCTATTCTACAATAGTCTATTCTAGATAAAACTGAATAAATTAACATTCATCAACAATACATACCTTTTTCTTCTTTTCCATTTCTGATTTACAAACATCATCACAAAGTAGTTTGCCTTCTTCTTTCACCCTGTCTTTACATTTAACATCTCTCTTAAGTCGGCGACATTTACACCTGACCTTCACCTTTACCTCACAATCCTCTGGTTTTACACATTTACCAGCATGACAGGTTAATCCACAAGGGTGACCACAACTTAACTGAAATATATCATATATTTATTGATACTTGCATGACAGTTAGAAGTTAGGGTATTATAAAACAAGTGATAAATGCATGCTTGAAGAACATGGCACTGATAATACCCTTTTACAATACAACTTTTTACTAATTTCATTTATATTACAATGCTTCATTATCACATGTTTAACTAAATTTACAATATTTCAATATTCAGTCTTGAAGCACACAGGTGTATCTTAACAAAAGAGAAAACATGCATTAAAAGAAAATTCATGCCAACACTCCCCATTGTTGCACATTACATTATAAAACCATAACTGTAGAATGACATCTTACTCATATGTGAAAGTCATGATAAAACAGGTTGTTTGTATGAAAAACAACGAAATGCAGAAATACCAAATTAGACATATACTTTAAAAGCAAGAATAGCCCTAACGCACCTTTTTCCATGCTTTAACATTTGCAGATGCCTTTCTAAACTTAAGATGCATAACTGTGCTTCTGCAGATGCTAATGCATGAAGAAAGGAGCATTTACCCTGTATTATTTTATATTTCTACAATACTTAAGTCCATGTATTATTTTATATTTCTACAATACTGAAGTATTTTAGTAATCTGTTTAATTGTTTACTAAATTTTAATCCAGATTGTTTCAATAACAATTCTACAAAGATTTTCTTTAAAATAAGATATAAAATATCTACCAGTTTAGGACAGGCACCATTGCATGATTTGAGTGTATTTTTGTGTTGATCATCGCTATTGACCCACTTGTTACATTCTACATATTGTACAGTAGCCTGGCAGTGACATCTCATACGGAACATTTGTTTACATGGAGGACATGGTCCAGAATGACACGACTGGGTACATTCATGTGTACATCCCTCCGGACGATCAAACTGACATGGTAACTCACATTCCTCACAATTGCTTCCTGCCTGAAAACCAAAACTTTTTAAACTTAAAAATATTCTAGCTGGAGATAATATTTGTCAAAATAAACATGTTTGATTTGTCTGCTTTTTATGCAGATTTCAACACATCCTTTGGTGAAATATTGGTGATTGATTCACATCAAACTGGCATTCCTGGGTAACTTACCAGTTATTACTAACATCTTCAAAAGTGACCAACTACTAATCCAACACAAATTTTTCTGATTTTAGTGACCAATGGATTACAAATAATATGATGTTCTCCCTATGGACCTAAGCAGACTCATCTTTAAGTAACAATCACTATTTAATTAACATAATCTTTAGTAACAAACACTAATATACACTAATTCTGTTACAGTTTACTTAATTCATTCCACCACTTGCCCCTCACCACTGTGGGTTCCCGACAGGGACTTTGAATTCTTTCATGTGAGGAAGCTATCCAGCTAGCTTACGGAACGTCGGTGGTTCTACTCAGGTGCCCATTCGTGCCTGAAATAATGCACCTGAGGTCTTCCTCCATCAGCAAAGCTGGAATGTCGCGATATGACCTATACTGTGTCGATGTGACGTAAAACCCAAAACAAACAAAAAAACTTTATTCAATCCAATAATTTGTGTTAATAAAAAAGTTGAACATCATTTTTCTATAATTCTATTATTAATCCATAAATGTTATCACAACATTATAGCCATAAAGTATATATAATGTAAACAGTGATGCAAGTTGGATAAACAGTGTTACCCAGTTAACACCAAAAAGAAACAACAAAGAAACAAATAACATACCATATCATTGTCTTCAGCACCTTCCACAGTGTGACATAACTTTGTACATGTATGATTACCACATGATAAATGTCTACCACACGGTCTACCACATTGGTAAGGTTGAACTACAGAACATGCAAACTGACCAATCTGAAATGATAACCCGAACTTAAAATACAGTTAAACTTCGTTCGCTCGAACTCGGATCGCTCGAATACCTCCTTTAGCTCGAACTCATCGTCCAGTCTAGGGAAAATTCCTATATAATATATATTGTTCTACCTCGGATCGCTCGAACACCCATCGCTCGAACTCTCGAACATGATCTCTGGTCCCTTCGGCAGAAATATAGTGTAAATCACACCTTTTCGGTCGAACACAAACAGACAACAAAAGTTGCAGGTCGACATGTTCTAAATAATTGACAGTCGGTGACACATGTTTTTAACACCTCGTGATCGTGACAAATGCAATTAAGGTTAATTGATACAAAATAAAAGGTGTTGTAACCGATTTGTTTGTTATGATAAATTGTATATTTTCCGTCTTTAGTAACGATAAAAGAAAACAACTCCTGAAATGCGCAAAAGTCAATAAATAAATGACGTTTACCCGGACGGCTTTAATTACAACCGTGGGTCGTGTATCGTGAATTGTCAGTGTAATCTATTAATAGAATGATACTTGTACGTGTTTTTTTAGTAAATGACTACAAATATATGCTGCTGTAAAATGTTATTTTTATATCTAATTTATTCATTGTTTAAAATAAAATTAATTCCATAATAGACATATAGATCTAAATATATTTTGAACATTGTTCACAGTTTGGATAATGATCGCCCAATCGAACTCAACCAATTACAATATGCATAAATATAGATTAACACAGTGTACCGTTAATATTGTTTTCAATAGGATAATAATTCTTAATATGACGTATTCGACAAACAGATGTTCTAACAACAATTATATTGACGTATTTATCATTTGACCTATGTAAGCTGGAAAACCTTTAGATATGTGTTCTATGTAATAATAGTTCAACCTCGGTTGGCTCGAACTACCGATCTCTCGAACAAATTTTCACAGACCCTCCGAGTTCGAGCGAACGAAGTTCGACTGTATATCTATATCCAAATAATTAAGTAAAAAAAAGGCTTTATTTATCGAGGCTACACATTTGGTTTCCCAATCTTCCATGTGGGTCTCTTTGATTATTGCATATGTTTTAGTAAATCTGCAATTTTCAATAAATGTACTTAACAGAGAATAATCAAAATCTAACAGTCTGATTCAACTGTATGTATGGTTTACCCAAGTGACATTACAATAGGTCCACATAGAAGCATATAACAAGCATCAAAACAATACTCCTCATCAAAATCAAGTTAATTTCACCTTAATTTCAATTGCAACATTTCAAATAATATTGAGAAGAACATCTGTTACATATAACAAGAGCTGTCGGTAGGACAGCAACCCTCGACTATTCTAAGTGCTTGATAGTAAAAGAGCCTTGATAATGTTAAATTTTTTAAGTTCACAAAAGGGCTAATGTTTTTTATAAATTCATGTTATAGGCCTTAGAGAGAGTCTAATTATACAGTATTGGCTTGACTATTCGGAAGGTAATGTCACAAGGGTGTCTTATTGAGTATAATAATACTAATTACCTATTAATACATAAATTTGACAGAAAAGGTACAAAGGCTTGTTATTAAGATGTTTTATCAAGTAAATCACTGCTTTATTATTATGATTGCATAAAATTGTCCCAAAAAAGGCACAAACCCTTCCATAGTTATGGAGATAACAGCTTACAAGCAAAACTTTACCATGAATTTCTAAGTTGTAAAAGGGGAGAAAAATCAGCCTAAATGCAAGATAGAATTATGGATCTTTGTCAGTGACCTACAATTATGACCCAAAATGCATATGTGAAGTTTTAAATAAATATCTTTAATAGTTATTGAGATATGTAAAACTTGCATGTAAACATTAATGAAGAGACTAAGTAGAAAAGGGGATATGAATCAGCCTTAATGCAAGATAGAGTTATGGAACTTGGTCAGTGACATACATTTATGACCCTCAAATTATGACCCTAAGTACATGTGTAAAGTTTGAAGTAAATATCTTTGCAGACCATTAACCATTAACCAAAATTTCTAAGTTTCAAAGGGGCAAATAATTCTGCAAATATTGCAGGCAAAGTTATGCAATTTTGCAAACTGATGAACATTGTTACTATAAAAAAGTATTTAAAATTTCAATTGAATATCTCAAGCAATAATTGAGATATTTGACTTTACAAAAAAACTTTAACCAAAATTTCTAAGATCCAAAGGGGCATAATTCTATCAATATTGTAGGCAGAGTTATCCAACTTGTCAATGTGATGTAACTTGTTACTATAAATAAGTATTTTAAGTTTCAATTGAATATCTCAAGCAATAATTGAGATATTTGACTTTATAAAAAACTTTAACCAAAATTTCTAAGTTAAAAAGGGGCATAATTCTGCCAATATTGTAGGCAGAGTTATCAAACTTGTCAATCTGATGTACCTTGTCACTATAAATAAGTATTGTAAGTTTCAATTGAATATCTCAAGCAATAATTGAGATATTTGACTTTACAAAAAACTTTAACCAAAATTTCTAAGTTAAAAAGGGGCATAATTCTGTCAATATTGTAGGCAGAGTTATCCAACTTGTCAATGTGATGTACCTTGTTACTATAAATAAGTATTGTAAGTTTCAATTGAATATTTCAAGCAATAATTGAGATATTTGACTTTACAAAAAACTTTAACCAACGCAGACGCCGATGCGGACGCTGACGCCGACGCCGGGGCCACTACAATAGCTCTCATATTCTTGAATAGTCTAGCTAAAAATTAAATACATAAGAAGGGTTACCTCATGTTTTCCATAGCATTGCATTGGCAAAGGAACCATACATGGCGGACAAGGTCTGTTGACTACATCTTCTATAATTCTAGGTCCACCTTCCCAAGGGCCTGCTCTACGTGTCTGAAATCACAAAATTTTAGTCAATATAAAAAAATACATATGTTTATCTATTCTCTATATGTTTAAGGTATCATTTTGCTTCCTTTCATATTGTTGAAAAAAAAAATTTTGCATAAATTTGATCATAACATGATGCTGAAGGGCAAGAGAAATATACATGTACATATGCAAGCTTTCTATGCGACAAACCTTTAAAATGATGTAGGTGAAAGTCAGTCTTAGGTGAGAAAAGTATTAATAACTAGTTTCAGACAGGGCTTAATTTATTTTCAGTCAGTTACAATTATAAAGAAGAATTCGGTATAATATAATTATTTAAATAACTCTATATGTAGGTACATTAGTGAAAGGGAAAAACAAATGGCAAATATACAAGAATTTTTTTAAGGCTTATATAAAAGCAAGTTTCCTCAGGGTTCATACAGACATCCAATGCCAAAATTCTTTTTAAGTACTATTTAAGCATTTATTCGCATTTTTAAGCACATTTGTTGCACAAATTTCGACACAATATTCAACCTTTCACTATTTTTTCTTGAATTATACACATTTTCTGGCCAAACTAGAACTGCCACTATCATGGCGTGAATACCCCCGCATACCACTTTGTCAGAATCAACAGTGGCCATTTAGAGCTGAAGGACAACCTCCCTGCCAAATCTGAGGTTACTAAGCCAGTGCATTGCTAAGTTATGTATTCTACATGCTTCAAATGTGAAAATGTCAAAATCAATACATTGCGGACAGGACATTCTTTAGCAATTGAGAAGAAAAGCTTTCTTTTTGTCAAGGTTCCTGTGACCTTGACCTTTGACCCAGTGACCTCAAAATCAATAGGGGTCACCTTATAGTCATGATCAACATCCATGCCAAATATGAAGACTGTGGGTCAAAGGAATCTTAAGTTAATGGGTGGACAAACTTTTTGAAGTCAAAGTCCCTATGACCTTGACCTTTGATCCAGTGACCTCAAAATCAAAAGGGGTCATCTACTCATCATGATCAACATCCATGCCAAAAATGAAGACTGTGGGTCAAAGGAATCTAAAGTTATTGGGCAGACAAACTTTTAGATGTCCCTGTGACCTTGACCTTTGACCTGGTGACCTCAAAATCAATAGGGGTCATCTACTAATCATGACTAACCTCCATTCCAAATATGAAGACTGTGGGTCAAAGGAATCTTAAGTTATTGGGCGGACAAGCTTTTGGAAGTCAAGGCCCCTGTGACCTTGACCTTTGAACTGGTGATCTCAAAGTCAATAGGGGTCATCTACTAATCATGACTAACCTCCATGCCAAATATGAAGACTGTGGGTCAAAGGAATCTTAAGTTATTGGGCGGACAAGCTTTGTTAAGTCAAGGCCCCTGTGACCTTGACCTTTGACCTGGTGACCTGAAAGTCAATAGGGGTCATCTACTAATCATGACTAACCTCCGTGCCAAATATGAAGACTGTGGGTCAAAGGAATCTTAAGTTATGGGGCGGACAAGCTTTTTGAAGTCATGGCCCCTATGACCTTGACCTTTGACATGGTGACCTCAAAGTCAATAGGGGTCATCTACTTAGCATGACTAGCCTCATGCCAAATATGAAGACTGTGGGTCAAAGGAATCTTAAGTTATTGGGCCGACAAGCTTTTTGAAGTCAAGGCCCCTGTGACCTTGACCTTTGACCTGGCGACCTCAAAATCAATAGAGGTCATCTACTAATCATGACTAACCTCCATGCCAAATATGAGGACTAAGGGTCAAAGGAATCTTAAGTTATTGGGCGGACAAGAAAAAACCGATGGATAGCCGGACGGACGGACAGACGGACAAGCTGATTCCAGTATACCCCCCTTACAACTTTGTTGTGCGGGGGTATAATTAAGGTTTTATAGAAGAACAACAAAGGGTGCATCAAATACAAATTAGTTCAAAACAAGTGCAATTTGTCCACATACTGTTACCTTGAGCAAACATTTCATTGATTTTGATACTCAATTGGATCATTTTTTTTTATTTTGTAAACTGTTGATTTTTATCGACACTATGTCATTCAAACATTTTCAAGCCTATTTTCAGCAAATTTAAGTACTTTTTAAGCACTTTTCAAGACAGAAATCAATTTCAAGGAATTTTAAGCACTATCTTACATTTTCAAGCACTTTTTAAGACAGGGACAAGCACTTTTTAAGACTGTACGAACCCTTTTCCTAAACAACAGGGCAAATTTGATGTCACACATACAAGTATCTTCATTCTTAGCATTGAAAAAGTTAATAATAGAACATCAATTTAGATCTAATATTGGCTCCTGTGACCAAATTATGCAGAAAACTGAAACCAGAGCTTTCTGCAAGGAACATCTACAGTAAGTAGCATCATTTGATATTCAAAAGTACAAAATAACACCTAAACACAGAAGTGTCAGGTAAGATAAAAGGTACAGTCAACTATCGTTATCTCGACATCGCTTTTCTCGATATTTCGTTATCTAGATGAAATTTTGAAAGTACCGATTTTCTTCCTTCTTTATCTATATTAGAAATATTTCAATATCTCGATATTTTTATTTCGATATTTTCAGTATCTCGGTGTAAAATTTAAACCCCAACAGTTATTTTCACACTATTATCCTTTGTTTATCTCGACTAATAGTTTTCTATCATCTGTTCCCTTCAGACGTGTGAAAACACAAACTAGACGATAATTGCTCAATAGCGCGTGCCATAATGATGATTATGTTTGTAACAGGTTTAGCTGTTTTTATAAAAGTTAATCTAGTTAGCGTGTTGATTGACTTATGTCAAAAATACGTGAATTTTTACGTTCTTTGTTAATATTCAAACACTGTATCAATTCACTATGACTTTAAATGTTAATGAAAAAGTGAAAGTATAGAAACGCTATCGTTGCAATATTGTTTCACAACATCAACAAATCAATCAGCGGTCGAACAATATCGAGAAAAACCCGATAAATAACCCGGAAGGATATCAGGATAAACCACCCTGACAACAATGTTTTCACTATATTTGTTTATTACTGAGTAAATCTCACTATGTGTTTTTATCACAGACACCCGTATTTCCGCTGGTAAACATCTGCTAATGTTACTTTGTTTAATATTGACTAGGCCTATGAAAACAAGAAATGTGGATATCATAGTTTATTTGACATAAGGTATGCACATGTCTTTTGTTAAAATCAGATTCTACCTTATTCAAACCCTAATATGTTTATCTCGACATTTCGTTATCTCGATATTTTTAGACGGTCCCGATGACTTCGAGATAACGAGAGTCGACTGTACATTCTAATATTTCAACTAAACAATAAGTTAGGATTATTGTTCAAGATGTAAGACAGTGATATTATACTCACATTATCTTTAAATCTAACTTTGACAGCAGTATGACATATTACAGGACACTGATGTGAACATTTATCTAGAGGTTTCAGACAAATCTGTCTACAGGGAGGACAGTCTCCAAAATGACATCTATGTGGTATCCTTGCTGCATGATGACAGTCAGGTGCTCGTCTAAAATTACAGCATTTTATTACAGGTATTTCCTACTACAATATGGGCAGTAAATTCACTTATTCTACAACATTCAGGTTCAATTTTCTAAATGTGTTTTTTTTGTATGTGTTTTCTTCTTCTCAAATATGGGCAATAACCTAAAATTGGTTTTTGGGAATGCTATAAATTCACTTCTTCTAAAACATTCAGGTTCCACTTACTTGATTTTCATAACATTCAAATTATTGATCCATAGCAACTAAATCACTTTTACAAACAAGGTAAATACCTAGCAACAATACTCACTGCCAATCTTAATTATACATGTGATAAGTAATTTTAAGGTAATTTATTTGAAACAAAGGTCACATAATGAAGTATATATATATCTACTGACATTAGATGTACTGATATTTTAAGAAACATACCTGCAGGGGTAGTTACATCTAGGAGGTTTTGTGACTTTTTCTCTACCACAAGGCACTGTTATCTTAGTAGCTTTACAGAAACAAAATATATCTACAGTCTCTGTACATGGGTAACATCTTCCTGAATGAAGAAATACATATAAATATAATATAATATCGTACTGACATATGATATAAGAAATGCAACATTATAGAATATTTTACTCTTACAATAATGGCAATATTATGGACACAAGTTTTAACATAAGAATAAAAGAAACAAGTTTATGATAAAATCAAAGGCAACACTGGTAACAGCTTATAATATTTCTCTTATAACTATTAAAAACAAGCTACAATTTTTGATACTTTTTTCAGAAAATAAATCTTGAAACAACTGCATTAAGAAGCAAGATTTTGTATATACAAGACAGTGTATATAATAAGTAAATCATTGATAGTGTTTATATACCTCTATGGCACCTACTGTTACATTTATGGTTTTTACAACCTAATGGTTTATTGCACATCTGTTCACAAGGTGGACACTGGCCATCACAACACTAAAAATAATCACACAACTTTTTATAAACAAATTTCACTGTAAATAAACAATTTTTTTTATAAAAAAATTTGACTGTAAATAATCAAACAACATTTTTTTGTAAGCAAAGTTCACTATAAATAATCAAACAACTTTTTTATAAACAAAGTTCACTACTAATAATCAAACAACTTTTTTATAAACAAAGTTCACTATAAATAATCAAACAACTTTTTTATAAACAAAGTTCACTATAAATAATCAAACAACCTTTTTTTATAAACAAAGTTCACTATAAATAATCAAACAACATTTTTATAAACAAAGTTCACTATAAATAATCAAACAACTTTTTTATAAACAAAGTTCACTATAAATAATCAAACAACTTTTTTTATAAACATATTACTGTAAATAATCAAATGACTTTTTTTTATAAACAAAACCTTAGTTTCTTTTAAATCTTATTAACACTGATAATATCTTTACTGATGAAAGAAACATTGGATCAAACTACCAACCTATCACATGATTTTTTGTTGGTAAGCTGGATTGTTTGCTCACCACAGAGAAAGGCATCTGACTGAACATCAGTTACATTAACTAGTCACCTACCGCAGTCACCTACTGACTAACAATTTAACATAACAAACTCTGTCAATCATAATTACCTTTCTCTTACATGGATGTTTACCACAGTCTCTCATTTTATTACATTTTGTCTCACACAGATAATCTTTATAACATGGAACTTCTCTCTCCTTCTGTACTTCACATCGACATTTCTTTACACGCATCTGACGACACTATCAACAAAAATGTTACATTATTAACTACAGGTAGAATATTCAACACAGACTTAATAAATTGTAGAGTATTGCTATAGTCTGTCAAATTATTCAATATATAAAGAATTTTAAAAAATAAAATTAAAATAGGGAAAATAATATGATGGACATATTTAAAATCTTTCATGACATTAAACCACGAATGTGTCTTAATTTATGACTGAGTATGTGGCAATTTTGAAGTTTTTGAAATTATTTAATTCTTCACCTTTAATTTTATTCTTATTTTAATCATGAAGAGTCTCTGAATGATTTATTGACTCAGATATGGTGTATTTAGAGAGAGCTAGATGTTTACGTACACTGCCACACGGACCAAAATGGCATCTTTGTACACATTCATGTAGCTGACATTCCAGTAATTTACCACATGTATCTCCACATGTAGGAATATCTTCTGTACATGGCAAGTTATATGCTGTAATATAACAATATAATCTATACAAGGTGTCTATCATCAACTTACATATCTGTAAAGCTTGTATCAAAACATAAATTTTTCCATCATTAAATTAAGTACATGTATAGTATAATAGAGAAAAACAGAATCTCTAATGAACACACAGAACATTGAATTCAAAATCTTGCAGTCTTGGTTTGACTGAGCCTGTTCATGGACGGTACTGAAAAGTGCAAACAACGGTCCACGCACCTAGCACCTGCTTAAGCAGAATTCAACATTTAAACATGAAAATGTTGGAATTTAGTACTTAGAAACATCAGCAGATGTGTTCATACGGCAACTATTACGGAACCTTCAATGTGACACTTTAGTGCCATTCCATGAAAAGCGGCGTACGGTCCCCCAATGAAAAAAATGCATGTGTTTAAGTAAAACTAGTAGATTTATTTATGACAAAAGATAGTGTATTTCAAGCACAATCACCTGGGATAGTATCTGTTTATGAAGTACAGATGCATGTGTAATATTTTATACTATTTAAAAATCATTCAAAGCATGTGTTTCTGAATTTATCATTGATTAAACATAGAGTGAATAACTCCTGCAAATATCCAAATGAGTTTGATTATAATTTAATGGGATATTTCACATATAAACTTTTTTGTAATAATCTATACATTCTATTTGTTGATTAACAAATCACTATAAGATAATAATGATTGTTGAACTTACTTGTTTTTTCACAAGGACATTTTCTCTCACCCCCTCTAGGACATTCTCCACAGTTACCACGGTGACAGATTATCTCACATAAATGATTACCACATGATAATCTCTTGTTACATGGCTAAAATATATGAAATTTTCCTACAAGTAACAGACATTATAATATCCCTCATGTTTATAATTACTGTCACATGATGAGACACTGTGCAGCCAGACAGGGACTTAAACCCCAGACTCTCTGGTGCTTGATTGTACAACAAGAAGCGAGATCATCAGGAATGATACAGGTTCATAAAACGGTATACTTACAATGTCAAAATATTAAGCTATGAGCATACAATTGTGATTCCACAGACATAACATGTCTGCAAAGTTTCAAATGAACACTTTAAGAGTTTGTGAAGATGTATGTAGAACCTTGACCAGGAACTTTCTATGTTCATAAAAGATTTAAGTGAAATACCATCCTTGGTAAATGATATATGAAGTTAGTTCACAGTAAAGCTGTAACCAAATTACCTTGACACGAGAGCTAGAATATTTAAGGTCATAAATCATTCAATATCTACACAAAATAGTGTCTTTAATGTCATATGAGTAAAATAATTACTATGTCAAATGCATTACAAAATATTTCAATAGATCCTATATCATCCCAATATATAACCACATAAATATACTTTTAGTTTTTTAAATGGTAAAATAAACATTTGTTTTTCAAACAACAAAACAAAAATTACAATGAAAGCTTCTGTATACCTTATCACATTTCCATTGAGGACTAGCACATGGTCTTACTGCTGTAGTTTTACCACATTCACACTCTTGTTTACTTGTTTTAGGACATGGGGCACATTCACCTATAAATATTACAGTGTTAAAGTAAGGCTACAGATTCCTTGGCTATCAGATAATTATTTTTAGGTATAAATTAAAAACAGGCTGAGAAATGTAATATACCTGTATATTAAAGTTCAATTTAACAATCATTTATTAAATTGATACTCATACAACTAGGAACACTTTTAATTAATCTTTTAATTTGATTTCCAAAACCTTATCTTTTATTGTATGTTACATTATTACAGAAGAAGAATAATGACAAAAACTATTACACGTTTTTGTTCAAAAAAATCCTTTGTTCAAAGAAACAAAACAACAGGAAACTGTTGTTAGTAATTTTCTATGTTACCTGGATGACAGGCCTGTTGACAGGTATGTTGTTTGCACGACAATTGTTTACCACACACACCACCACAGGCCCATGCTCGTGTACTACATCTCCTCACCTGGGCAGCTGCGTTACCACAGTAACATTGTACCTTCAGTGTCTTAGGACATGGTGGACATGCACCTAATGATATATAATAACAAAATGTAGTAAATCAACATAGTACAAGAACTAGTTTGTCAAGAAAGCTTATAAAATCAAAAATTAATTTTCGTATACAGTAAACTCCACTAATAAAGATATCACTTATAACAATATTCAGCTTATAATAAGCTGTTGCAGCAGTCCTGACTTGTCTTCAAATTTGTTGCCTCTAGTATATAACAATTTCCGGATACATTAACATAAATTTGTCTTTTGAAAATATCCTTATAAGAGGAGTTTACTGTACGAGTGACTTCTGTAATGATAAACTTATACATGAATTTAGATATAAATTCTGAAACTATAATTTGTACTTTCAGACAGAAGAAAGCATTTCAATGCTAGTTATATAATTATCATATATATTTAAAAGTTATCAAACTCAAAATTTTAATCCAATCAATAGACAGGGAGAGCATATATTCTTTGACATATCTGTTTGTTCTTTTGTTATAATTTAATTTGGGCTATAACATAAAAGTCTTCAGAATAGGCCTCCAAACTTGACAGTTTAGCTCAAATATCTGGACCCACTGTAGGTCCTTTTCATGATGTTCATATAAAACCTACAGCTAATTTCAAAAGTATCTTATGTAATCGAATAAGATCATCGAATGATAATAGGTTTAACTGTGGAAATAACTTACATGTAAAATTTATTCGCTATAAATTCAAAGTGACATACAGTTTATTACTGACAAACATGTAAGCTCAGTTATTTGGTTGTGAGAATATTTAGAAATTGAATATTTCTATTTATTAAAAAAATTTATGTAATACCATTTTGAAAGCATTAAGTAAGTTCACAGTAACTGTATTTTATTCATAACCCCAGGACAGAAAGTAATCAAATTTTTTTCAGTTTTTTAATTTATGTTGTTTCTAATTTACGCCTTTTCCGAATATTTCATCATTAGATTTCTGACATTTCTGGAAGCCCCGATTAAAATTTCTTCAATTCCTGTTAACAGTCATTTAAATCAACTGTAAAAAAAATATGCTACATTGTATTTATAATCAGTAATTTCAAAACACAAATAACTTTTTTTTGGGTAAAATAATAATTTCTTTAAAACAACACAAAATTGTTCATTGACAGCTTCTGAATCCTTTCACTTTATAGGTACATGGTCTAACTGTGTTTTTAGAAACAACACTTTGTTTATTGTTAGACATGGGGTATTATGTGACTTATAAATTTTTGTTAAAGTTCAAGGAGATTTCTGTATAGTTTATTTTGTAAAACAAGACCAGACAGGATGTAATTCCTTGTTTAAAGTTGAAGTTTAATCATTTTTTTTTTTAATAATCTGCTAAATATAATAATAGGTAAAATTTGAAATTTATTTTAATAGTAATGTTTATTTTGTCAAAATATGATTTACCTTCAATTTTATTGTATTTACTTTGAATATTGTATCAAATATTTACCTTTGTTATGTATCATGTATAGGATAAACCTAACCAAATGTTCTGTTGTTGTAATCCAAGGCTCTGATTGTAATCCTTATGTGTTCCTGGATCAAGGTTACAATGTTGGTTCATCCTACAATTTTAACAAAACACCACCAAAGCCTTGCTGGTATAATTTCTAACCCTGAGCGCGTAAACATCAAAACTACCTTCAGTAGTCTTAGAATTGGAAAGCTCCTTTAAATATTTGGAAATATATTAAACAATAAGCAAAGTTTTCAACAAAAGCTGTTATTTTTTACTTTTTTACCTAAACAAAATTAGACCAAAGTAATCAAATTTGATGACGTTCTATGCTTTACTTGTGGGGAAAAATCCTACAGGTGCTTCCTGCATAAGGCCGATTATGAATGTGCTGGAAACCTACTTCTGTAAGTATGAAAAACCACAGGGTTAGGGGAAGTGCGTTTGAAGTCAAACAACCTATAACCACTCGGATGAACCTTATGAAAAGCGTTGTTTATTAATTCTAAAGAAAATGGTTATAGTTAATTAAACCGTGTTATATTATGATTTAATAATATGAGTTATACAGTAAACTTTTGTACAATTTTTTGAAAAATTCAGAATGGCAGTGTTACATACTAAGGTGCTGGCCTATCTGACTTGATAAACCTATCAGCAGGATATCCCTACAAAATAAACAAGTTTATACAGTATACAGAAGCTTCAATATTTACCTGGATGACAGAGAAGTAGACAAGTATGACCACAGTCTGGTTTCAGTTTTCTGGCACAAGTCTGACCACAAGAATGGGGAACGAGCCATGGATCAAACTGGGGATCTTCTACTTTACCACAATAACACCAGTACCGTGTAGGACGCTCTCTCTGATTGTATTCTAAACGACATTTTGGACTAAAGAAACAAAACAACAAAAAACATTATATCACATGAAAGGTTAAAAAGCCTTAGATTAAAATTCCTGATTTTAAAATTTAGCAAAGGTAGGGCATGTTTTGCAATATGAATACTTTTCTTAACCTATCATAACTTATTATAAGTTAATTTGCTATAATCCCCCAAGTTATTTTAAACAAGTAAAAAGATTTGTTCTCCATTTTCATTTTATTTAAACAGATAGTTCTGCATATTTTAAGTGTATTATTATGATGCCATTTTCTAACATGTATTCTAACATGTACAAGTTGATAGGAAAGAATTGTAAAACTTCTGCCTTATATACTTCACACAAAGTAAATATGGTAAAATGAAACATCCTATAATAATATTGTGTAAATACCAATGCCAGGGAATGTCTTCTGGTCGGACATTATCATCATCTGACTTGTAGATCTGCTGGTAAACACCGTCTTTCACCCACTTCTGTATACACTGTATGTGAAATATTGCATAACAACCTTCACAGCTCCAAATCTGTACAAAGAAAACAACAATAGTTTATCTTTAATTTGTTTAAGTTTTCAATTCCTGGTATTGGTGTTCATGTGCATATGTTTACTGAAATAAATATTTCTATCCAAAATGGTCTTTTAATTTTATGGTTCTAGGACATTCGCACTCTGGTCCAAAACCACCAAAACCAACCTTGATATTATCATGATAAATGATAAATAAGTATTCCAAGTTCCATGTTGGTACTTTGCATAGTTTTGAAATTACTGTATAAGCAATTTTGACAAAAATTCTATGTTCAAAAGGGGCATAACTCTAAAGATATAGCTTTCAGAATCATGCACATTCTCTTTAAACTGCATTATTCTTGTCATGATAAACAAGTATTCAAAGTTTATACCTATTAAAATCTGTATTAAAAAGTTTGCTTACTGACAATACAAAGATCATAAAAGCTTGAGCTTCAATGTAAATCACTTGTGCATTCATCATTTCTTCCCCTCCAATCTCCATCAGTATCTCAATAGTGTATTATAGTATATACATGTATATTATAGATTCATATCTACTGATATTTTTATAACTATAATTTTGATACTTACTGGGTCTGTTTTCTTGATAGTTTCTATACAGACAAGACAAGCTGAAGTTCCTGAACGGAATGAATGTAATAGTGTATCCTGTGCAGCATCTACATCAGTTGCTACAATTATAAATAAGAACTGCTAAAGTTATAAATAAGAGCTGCTAAAATTATAAATAAGAACAGCTACAATTATAAATTAGAACTGCTACAGTTATAAATTTGAAGGTCTACAATTATATACAAGAACAGCAACAATTGTAAATAAGAACGGCTACAGTTATGAATAAAAATGGCTATAATTTAGTATAAATAAGAATGGTTACAACTTTATAAATTTTGGCCGACTATTGTTCTTCTCAAGTTATAGATAAAAACAGGGAATTTACAAAATGTGTCACTGTAGTGTAAACTTGACCTCTGACAAATGAACTCAATTTCAGTAGAGGAAATCTTTTGGCCATGGGCTATGTCCTTACAATGGTAAATAAAATTAAACCACAGGCTATTTCTTCTCAAGCCTCTATTGAACAAGAACAAAGAAGAGGTGACATAAATACTGACCAACACTATCACAGTATGCTTTCAACTTTTTAAAAAAATGAAATTTAATACAATCATGAATGTAGTTAAAGATGAAAATTTATTTACAGTCTGTGGATGAGTAGGTATGGAAAACTTTTTCTAGAACATCACTGGCAATGTCATCTTCATCAGAAGAGTTGTCTTCCTTGTCAATATCTTCATCCTGTAGATGGCGTTTAATTGATTCCTGATTCTGCTGGCTAGCATACTGAAACCTTTCCTCTGCACTTGGTTGATCTATACATGAAAATATAGTGATGAAAGTAATTTTCCTCATAGTTAATCTCCTCAAAGGTACTTATCAAAAGAACAAGAAAAAATCTTAAATTCTATCACTTAAAGTATGTCAAATATTGAGATGTAAGTAATTTACATAACAATCTATTCAATGGTACTTAACAAAAGAACAAAAAAAAAATCTTAAATTTCATCACATAATGTATGTCAAAGCAAAGAGACATAGTCTATATTCACTAAAAAGAAAAAAAAATCTCTTTTAATCTTACATTAATTATATACCATTATATAGTTTTTCAATTAAACAAGTCACTAACATTAACAGAATCGATGCCAACTTTTGCTTTTTTGGATGACATAATCTGTTTTGTCATGTAAATCTTTATAAATTATATATAATCTCCATGCTGTATCAGTGAATGTATGAACTGGAAACCAAAAATTGTATTTATGACTTTCAAACAGAATGATATGATATAAATCTCACTGATACTTTGCAATATCTCACCAATAAACTTAAGATAATGATCAATCTTAATGATGCTAATGAACTAGGACCATTAGTTACTGTTGTAGGCAGCTTAATATATCATATTTTACCTCTTTGTTCTGGTTGATTGTAAGATTTTTTTACAGCACCTCTACCTCTCCCAGATCCTTGGCTATCAGGCTTTACACCACCTCTCAAATCAGCGGCTTGATTAAATCCTCTAGCCCAACCTGTGCTATTCTGCACATGGTTATTGGTATTTTGGTTCTGTGATGGGAGATTTCCACCTCGTCCTCTCCCCCTGCCTTTCAAATATGTTGGAACATTAGCCATCATTCAGTGAATCTGAAGAAATATAATAATGATTAATACAACTTCCAACATGTAAGGTATTCATGTCATGTTCAGCTTTGAACAACTAAAGCAATAATGTTTTACTCTCTATTTTCTGTTTTAGGGGTAGTTGTAACAAATTTCTATATTAAAAACAGTGGAGGGGTGAGAATCTGTTTACACCTGAAGTAATATTGATCCAATACAAACTTTGCAACAGTAAACTTGGTCAATTTTTTATTACTAGTAAAAACAACAATCTTTTTTTAAATTTCTCTGACATCATGCAATTAATTTTGTTAAATTTTGTCTTTTGTATAAAATAGAGATTTACATGTTTTATAAAGGATTCTAACACGACCCGCATTTTTCCCTATTGAACATAGAAGAACCGAAAGTGTGTGTTATTATGCTATAAAATCACTGACGTTCTATATTTAGACATGTGACGTAATCATTATACATGTGACGTAACCACTGAAAATGTGATGCACTGACAATAAGTACGTAAACAAATCAGGTGCAATTTAGCTAAATATCAGGTACGGCAGCATTTATTTGTTGATGTCGTGTTAGAATCGAAATAATATATCCAAATCAGTGATTTTATTGCTTGATAACTGTTAACATCACTGTTTGTCGTTTGGATGCGCATCATTATATCACTCGGGCTACGCCCTCGTGATATAATTCTTAGCATCCGAACTCCAAACAGTGATGTTATTGAGCAATAAAATCACAGTTTGGGATATATTATTTCTTAAATGTCATGCATATTTTGTAAATAATGAATTTAACAGTTTGTAGACCTTATACTTAACAACACATTGCAAAGCATCAGTGATCATAAGACAAGCTAATAATAAAAATTTAATTACCAACTCACTAAAAACAATTCTATTAGAAATGCTTTAGCCTCCTTTATATATGATCCAGTTCAAATGAATTGGACAACCTGTAATCTTTATCAGTGTGGCATTAATCAAAGAAAATCAAAAGCAGTGCACAATATATGATACATTCATACACGTTAATTTACATGGTTGTTGTGACGTAGTGTCTACTACCTACTGGCACTACCAAATAACAGTTTTTATAATCCTTTTAAAAAAAAAAGTGACAGGCACCATGTGCTTAGATAAACATGGCGAACAATTTGTTCCGTGGAACTACTTATAAAATTGTATGTCACCTTGCTGTCAATTAGAAACACACTATTAAATCCGCTATCATACAGTACATGGAAAGATACTGTTTATCACTGGTCAATGACTTTGCTAGGCACAGTTTACATTTAATAGACAGGTGCTGTGTATGTTGGCATATTTTTACTTATATTTCTATTTTTCTTGTTAACACATTAATATCAAGAATTTAATCTCTGAGATCAGGGTCGAAATATGGCAATTTTTCAGTCTTGTCTGGTTATCACAAGTTTGTTGTTTCGTAACTTTTTTTGTAAAACTTCTTTATTTTTCAACAGAACAAATATTTTCTGTTCTGGTCCGACCATCGGACGGACACTTTTTAAACATTTTTCCTTACAGATTTCATAATTTCAAAGCTACAGATCTGAAAATTTGACACAGTACAGCTAGGTTTTTCTCCTAACTAACAAACTAGTTTGTTTATTACTTATTATGTTGACACTTATGTCTGAGGCCCGTCAAGGAGGGTATCTAAATTACCTAAATTGAACACACTACAGCAGTACCATGTGCCTGGACAGATATGTAATGAGGTTGATTTAATTAAGATAAATGCTTGGGTGCTTTAATTTTAAATTTTCAACATGATATTCAATATATCAGCAGCAAATGCCGAAGTTTTGGATATTCTTTTGTTTACTCTGCAAAAGATTACAGCTAGTATAAGAGGTCAGGCAATGCATTCTTGATGTCCAAATTACCAACGTCAACATTCTTGAAATAGTCATTAACATATTACCATTTATGAAAGTAGAAATTAATTTTATTACTTAATGATAGATTAAAGAAGAAACATGCATTTATTGTTGATAAAAAAAGTGACTGATAGATCGTCAACAACTGAACAAAGAAAACAACTAAATCAGGCATTTTTGGGACCATCTGGGTTTGATTGTTGTTCAGTTTTGGTGGACCCAGGGCCGACAAAATCTGATTATGACTTACTTGTCTGTTTTTATGTGAAGCATTTTTTAACTTGTCCGACTCCATATGATATTTACATAGTTTATTCTTGAAAATTTTTACTTGTCCATACAAGCTGTGGGACAACCTGGGCAATAAGGACAATTGAATTTGCCAGCCCTGTGGACCCCAACCAATAAATAAATTCACACTTAAGTTCAAGAAATTAACCATAGTCTAAGTGGTTGGCATAAATATAATGGGGAAGTTTTCAGATGAGACCGCACCTTTGGGCACCGGCCACCCTCATTTTTTATGGTACTCAATGATAATTGCCAGGGTATTCCGATTACAGAACAATCGCAACTTTTCGGCTTAATAGCGAGCTCGACAAGCTGGCCCAAAGGGCCTGCTCGCAAAGCGAGCTTTACGGTAATGCGAGTACCTGCTAAGTGATGGTTTTGAAAACTTTCGTCCGAAGTACCGAATTAGACACAACGCAACTTTTCGAATTACAAGATAACGATTAAAGCCGATGTACTCTGTCAGATTAAAAACGGAAGCGTAGACTGGTGTCCTGCTTATTTATAAAGGAACCATAATAAAAGGGGGAACCAGAATAAACGGAAGCAGTGTATAAAATAACGAATGACAATTTTAAAACGGAAAATGTAAAATAAAAATAAATGATTATTTTATACTATTTCACGACACGGTAAAAGTAAATCAAGCTCGCTTTGAGGCTTTGTCTTTTTCATATTAATAATCATCTAGGTGTTCCAAATGAAAATGGAAGTGGTGCATGAAATACAGAATGACATATTTACTAATACGGGGAAGTCAAAGACCTATACCTATCAAAGAAATTTTCAGTGTCAGTTCTAGTCGGGCGCCGCCATTTACAATGTAACTCAATGATAATAGGCGGGGTATTCCGATAACGGAACAAATCTCAACTTTTCGGATTAATACGGGGAAGTCAAAGACCGGGCCCGCGAAGCGGGTCCGGGCTTTGGCTTGCCCGGCTATAGACTACACGTGTATATTTAAAAGAAAATCACATAAAAAACAATTAAAAAATATATAAAATTCTATACCTATCAAAGAAATTTTCAGTGTCAGTTCTAGTCGGGCGCCGCCATTTACAATGTAACTCAATGATAAATGGCGGGGTATTCCGATAACGGAACAAATCTCCACTTTTCGGATAAATGATAATCGCCGAGTGTTCCGAATGAAAACGGAAGCGGTACATGTAATACCGAATGACACCTTTAAAACGGAAAGAATGAAAGGAATTTTTAACGACTTCCCCGTCCATAGGCTTTGCCTAATTTCATATTAATAATCGTCGAGTGTTCCGAGTGAAAACGGAAGCGGTGCATGTAATACCGAATGACAACCTAAAACGGAAAGAATGAAAGGATTTTTTAACGACTTCCCCGTTTATAGGCTTTGCCTAATTTCATATTAATTTAGATCTTTTATTTAAACGAAAAATGCAAGATAAACGTTTTTTTATCTGACTTCCCCATTCATAAGATTTGGTTATTTTCATTGACATTTAAATATATAATAGGTTTTTGTTTGTTTGTATTCTATTTTCGGGTTTTTAATGAAATTGAAAAAAATGAGTACGTATTGACTTGGGGACGTTTTGGTGTTACAGACGTATTCACTTTCCACTTTGAATGAAATAAAGATATTTTGAAGAATACCTTATATACATTTTGATATATCAAAAAATTAAGTTTTGAAATTGTAAGTTCAGTAATTGTATAAAGCACCAATAATTATAAAGGAACAGTTGAATTAATTTGACGTTACCGAAATATGGAAGCTGACATTTTCACACTGGAATTATGGGAGCTTTATTATTACTTCCGCAAGATGTCGCTTGTCTGACAGTTTGGGTTTTCCGCATTTAATTCAGTATTTTTTCTTAGTTGGAAGCCCTAACAGTTAATGACAAATACATATCCAAAGTCTTCGTATGAATAATAAAGCATCAAGCTTGAACGAAAGCGGAAAAGACGGCGCCAGGTAATGAAAGAGCCAGTTACATGATGCTAGCACTTGTGGGTGGGGTAATTTTTGAAATCGAAAACATATTCTTTAAAAAGAAATTTTAAATAATGACAGTTTATGTGTTGTTAACAAGCGTTTATCAAATGTTTTTTTTAATTGCCAATAGTATGTTGCTCTTTAAATAATCCTTTGTAAATGACTGCAAACAGAAAATAGCCAAACATCTCTACTTAGCTTACAGGACAAGAACTTGAAGAAGCTTTTTTTAAGTTGGTTTACAAATTAAAACAAACATTAGCTTAAACGCTGTTTACCAAAGGTAAAGCTTGAGGTCTTCAGTGTACCCATTTATATACTGTGACTTGATGTGGACGCTGAAGCCATGCCAGTAGGGAAAGTCTACGAATCCGGGTCAGCTCGGCCCTAAAACGTACTCGGCCCCCGAGTCAGCTCGGCCCTATTCCAACTCGGCACGGGTCAGTCAACTCGGCCCACTTTTTTATTATTAATATTAAGGTTTGTGTTATCACTATTTTTTGGTATTATGAAATTATTTATAAAACACGGATTGGCATTTCAGAGGTTTTTCTTATAAGTAGAATTGCGAGTAAAGATTACCGATTGCGTATATCAGTGTATTTCTGACTCGTGGTAGGTTTAACCGTACGGTAAATTTAAATACATTCAGTGTCAAACAATGTGTTGAAATAAATACTGAGAGGAAGCTAAGGTCAGCTTTTAATTGGTGTAACAAATTTTAAAATAGGACATTTAATCGCCCCAAACTAGCGATTTAAACACGGCTAAATTTGCATTCTTTTGCAAGCGAAGGGAAACTAAGGAACTTTTTCACTCGATATACCTCAGTTATTTACGTAGTTCAACAGAGAGAGTTTATAAATATAAGACAAATAAATAACATTTTTTTTCTAAATTTATCTATATACTTTATTTCGGCAGAAGTATAATTATATAATAATAAGATATTTCTTATTATTCATTTACCGTAACAACATGCAAAGCAAAGTTAAAACGTTATATATATTTTGTAAAGGGGGCCGAGTTGACCCGTGCCGAGTCGGTATAGGGCCGAGTTGACTCTTTTCCAAAGTCTACTAGTACTAATTAAATCATGCCAGGAATGTGACATGTTCATATATATGCATTTAATTATTGAGCATACAAACTATGTATAATGACTATAATCTGTTGATTAGCCAGGTATCTTCTAACTTCTTTTTTATAGAATTATTACTTTTTTGAATGTTTAAAAAGGGTGATTTATTGACAGTTTTATTTATAGATGGAGAAGAAACTGTGACATCACACACTTAAATTCAGTTTCTGCGGAAAGTTATTCACAAAAGTTATATGTCACAGGATTTTCATAGATTTGAGTAAAAGTAGCCTAAATACCACCATATTGCATTGCATTCCCGGAGGTAAATCAACAAAACAGACAAAGCATTTTTTACTAATATAAGTGCAAAAGTTATTTATCATAAAGGTACAATACACACTTTTCCACACAAATACTTCTACCATGAAAATCCCTGTCGGCAATGTAAACATTAATTCACAGATATTGCTGAAGTTTAACGAGAGAGCGCAAAATTGGAGATCAGTGGGAAATGCCCATAATCACCATAGGGCGCAAAGGATTGTGGGTCTGAATCTGACTATCGTCTATTTTCAGTGCTTCCTATCCATTCTATATATATCTGTGATTATATTGAACTATGAGTTTGAAATCATTTCAACAAATATGAACTAGTACATTACTACTCTAATCGGTTCTTGCAAATTACATCATACAAGATATCTACTATATGACATGGCCAACATAATTTGGTGTAATTAATGCTTTGCAGTTTAATAGTCAATTTTATTGAGAGTATTAATATTTTCATACTTTAAATGGTAAAGAACAATATTGAAAACATTGTTTTATCGAAGAATTCACAAGAATTAATGGAAAAAGGGTATTAACCGTATTTGCAAATGAAAAATACGGTTAAATCAACAATGGCTATTCTGGATAGGTTTCGTTATGGATCTGGTCCAAAACTTTAATGTCGCATGAGATGAATTTATATAACAGAAATGTTATACATGACAAGAGTGGCATATAAAGTGTTGAAAGCTAGAACTAACGTGACTGCAAACCATCTGACACTTAAAGATCCTGTAACACATTTTTTTCATGGTTTTATTCCATAAATATGATGCTCAAATTAAGATTTGTCAATATTGTAAGTTCCAAAAAGCATTATTTATAAAAATATTACTGAAATTATCATTTCATGTAAATAAAGGGAGGTAATTAGAAATTTATTTTCTATAAATTCTATTTCAAATTTTCCAATAAGAAATGAATGCATATAATTAATTGATTAAATATAATGTTCACAAATATTTGCACTACACATTTTACATATTCTTCGATGTTTGAAAATTATTTTATTTATAATTTGCATAATTATATACATATATAATTTTTTGAAAGTGTGGTATACACACAGTAACAATATCAATCACAAAACATACAGGATCTTTAATGATTAGTGAGGCCCATGTGATCTACATTTTTAACTTGTTATAAAAGAATTGTGTTTTTAGGACATAGCGACAAAGTTTAAGGGCTGCTATTGCAAACACAGATACTTGAGGGTCTGTTCTAGGAACCAGCTGGATATGTTCCACCTGACCTTGGGACTTGACCCATAAAAATATTAAAATGCACCCATTTGACCTCTCATGAATTTGCCAATTTATCATTTTTCATTAATTGACCACAGTGACTGTAAATAATCTGTTGCAGAATGAAAAACACTACTTGTCAATATTAGTCATCAATTTGTCTGGCCTATATCTGCAGCAGGGAATGAAGCATCCACCTAAAGTTGGTTTAAGTCAATTAACATGTGGTTATCAGCTTGATTTGAGAATTGATAATGGAAGTAGATTTTTTATCAAAACATATAACAATTGATTATTATTTAGTGGTGTAATATTGATTTTGCAATTTCAATTATTTAAAACTTTTTTGTTTGATAATGCATTGTTATTTAATTTCATTCCTAGAAAAAACATTCAAATCCCTTTAATAACTTCTTTAATGTAATTACAGTATATAAAGCAGGAAGTAATTACATGTATTATTGTGCACAAAAGCTTCGAGTTATAAATGTTGAAGTACTAAATGGTATTATCATTTAAAAGTATAACAAGAACTGCCAGCGGAAAGCGTACACTACTTTTTTTAAAGCTGGATAGTTAAAATAGAAGCAACATTAAAAAGATGTTCGCATATAATTAAATACTCCCTTACTAAACTACTCAAGGGAATGGGTGATACTTCACATACTTACTTTAATAAGAGCATAATAGAAAGTTACAGTTCAAGGCCAAAAGCCCATGACATTTATTTTGACAGAATTATGGCCTTTTTTGAATGTAGAAAATGTTACATTAATATCAAGGCTTTTGTTTTGCTTTCAAGCACTGAGAATAGTCAAGCATGCTGTCCTAAAGACAGCTCTTGTTATAAGTTTGAAATTTGCATAATGCAGTTTTAGGATTTGTGGACGATGGTTTGCATTTGCCTCTTTTTGAACAGGTTCAAACAAACCAAGTCTTTCTATGTTGGGGACGTTTATACTTAATTATAGTTTTTGCTAAATTTATAATGTTTGAAGTTAAGATGAGCTTCTGGTCAGACTTCAAAAAGTACATCAGAATTATCTATATTGTTTTAGAATTACTGACTTGTATGCCATATACTTTGCACTTAATACAATTAATACAAATGTACTAATTAATACAATCATGTAAATTTTTAATTGTAGAACACTTGTATTTCAGTGCCCTGGATTCTGAAGGAGCTACATCACAAACAAAACTCCAAGAAGAAATGTAAGTTATCTTAGTAGCTTTCAGTTTATTTGACCATTATGATTAACTTTTGTGAACTTGATAGTGCCAAATGTTTATAAATTACATGAAATTGTTAAAGAAAAATCTTTGGACACAACATGCTTTACTGATTGAGGCAATGAAATTTATTCTGAAAGTTCCTCACTGCATATTGTTTTAAACGACTGATTGAATTATTATAAATGTGATGATTTATTTTATTCAGGAAGCGGGCAGCAGCAAAACAGCTGATAGAGGCGTACTATTTCCAGCTGACAGATGGATGTGGCAATGGCACATGTACCAATGAAGTGTGTGCATCCAGTCCTAGTTTCAACCTTAGAGACAAAGACAAAAATGCTCTTGCTCTAATGTCTATTGAATTGTTCAAACAAAAAGCTCAATTATGTGAAAACGAGAGAAATAAGATAGCCCGGTTACCTGTGAGTAGAGAGACAAGTCCAGTAGGGGCAACATCAGCAGCAACGCCACCTATAGGAGGAGAAACTCTGACCGGCGCATCACCTTTAGTTGTAGAAACTCAGCCTGGATCTTCTAAAGATGGCTTCATTGATTTAAAAGCCAAAACCTCCCTGCTAACTACTCCATACAAATGTGCTGGTGTAACTGCGAAATCTACACCTACAACCCCTACACGTAACTACTATTTTATTTACTTTTACTCATTATTTATATGTGTGATTATTCTCATATGTGAGATAAATTATAAGTGACTGAAGTTAAACATTTTGTTTCAGTTTCATCTCTACAATCAATTAAGAAATTTACTTAAAGCCTTATGTACTGTATAAGTGGTAAAGCTTGTAATGTGGAAATGTTCAAGATTTTTTTGATTTCAATAAGTTTGCTAATGAAAAGATCATTTTGTTTCATTTAAATATATTTAACTATGTCTATGCAAAAATTGATTAAGATCAATGTTTGGGTCTTTCGACTTAGATCAATGTCGAGACATCTTTCGACCTAGATCAATGTCGAGACATCTTTCGACCCAGATCAGTGTGGAGATACCTTTTGACCTAGGTCATTGTGGAGATGCCATTGATCTAGATCAATGTTTTACTTTAATCATTGTGGACCATGGTAGGATTCGTGTGTCTTGATATTTAAAAAAAAAAAGATTAATGTCAATTATGTCATTATAAAGCAAGATGGAGCTGGTGAGCATAAAGTTAATTCAATGTATACACTGTTATAATTCACAAGTAAGGTACAGGTTGCTTATTATTTGTATGTTATTATATCATGACATAGATTATAATTTTTTTATTGATATTGTTTGTGTTTTCAGAACCTAAAGATGTACCATATCTGAATGAGGAAAAACTTCTTGAAATATTGAAAGACTGTCAGAAAACAAATGATTGGTCATCATTAATCAAGATTATAGGAAGTGTATATAGCAATCCTGAGTCACTCATAAAGAGTTTTCAGCTTCAAAGTGGAGGACAGAAGAAAGAGAAAGTGAGTGATTTTGATAGTGATAAAGACATTGATGATGAGGATTCTGAATCAGGGGAGAGAATTCATGATAAGGTTTCAGATGTATGGCATCAACAGACGACAGGAAGTGATGTTAATGTTGATTTGTCGTCTTTACGACGCTGCTATGATTTCCTGATGGATATACCAGAACTCCCATTCCAGAATGCCCTGATCAATGCTCTACGTACACTTGCCAGTACATTAGATATGGACTTTAAATATACACGGCAAATAGAGAATGAAGCAAACTATTTAAACATTTTTGTGATAGTGTTAGAAATACCGTTGTTACATAGCCCGGAGTTTATTGAGGTTGCCTATCCAGACTTTTGCAAGGCTTTGGGTCAGTTGCCACTAAAGGGTCAAGTAAAGCTAGCACAGTATTGGGCAACCTTTGAGAAGGAAAGGTTGAAGGAAATGGTCCTATCATTGCAGCAAATGATAACAGTGAAACTGATAGATGGCGAAGCACGTTGGAACCAGGGCTGGACTCTGAACACGGAAGATGCCATCACTGGTCCAGTCAAAGTGATGAAAATTCTTTATTATGCAAGCATGTACGGGGGTATGAAGGATTCGAGGTCTGTTCTAGAGGAAGAGAGAAGAATTATTGAAGGTGAAAGTCATCTGCAGCATGAATTTCTTGGTGCTAGTGCCATGGGTCATGACTTTAAAGAGCCAAGACAAATTAAAGATGATCCTTTAGGGAAAGAGTTAGAAATCACACATGCTGACTGTAGGAGCCCACTAGTGGACTATGAGGAATTTGTCAATGAAACTCTTAATGAGCATATAAGTGTAGAAACAGACTATAAATTCAAGTTGGAAAGTGAAGAAACGCCAAGTAAATTTTCATTTGCTAACTATAGTTTTGTTTTGACAACTGCATCAAAACAGGCAAGTTTATATATGGACAATCGTATACAGATGTTCCGAGAAAGGCGTTCATCTATAATACAAACATTAGTACATGGAATGCCACCAATGCCGTTCCTTAGAATCCGAGTGTCCCGAGAACGTTTGATAGATGATGCTTTAGTTGCTGTGAGTATCCTTTACTTGTATTTGATGATTTATAGGTATATTTGATAGGTTGACCGTTCATAATATACTTTCCCTTGTGTATATGTAAATTTAATCATAAGTTATCAGGCCTCGACACTAACTTTTTTAGCAGGTGGTTAGCCGGACCACTACATTTGAAATAAAGGTGGTCCTTCCAGGAGTCAGGTGGTCAATTATTATTATGTCATTTTTACTGCAAAATTAGAAAAAATATGTTTAAAATTGATGACAAAGATGTATCATTAACCTTAAGAAAACAGATATTTTAGATATATATTTTTATCTAATCAGAAATAAAGAAGAGCAAGTTAGTAGATATTTTATCATAAAGTTATTTGGTTTTTTATATGTCATTCAAAAATACACAACAGGGCTCTTATTTATGTTCTTTAATTATGATAATTACATGTATCTTTTATAGATTAACATTTTTAATAAAACTAATAAATTATCTTAAAACAAGGAAATAGCCAGAGGATAAAAAAATAAAACTAATGTTATATATAACTATAGTTAAGCTTATTTTTCTCACAGATGTATAATACATATTTTTACCTCCCTGTTGCTTGTTGGTTGATATTTATTTTCAACATGTCATTGAGTATTTTTAACCTTTTAAAGTAATTTTAACTCTAGAGGAAATGGATCTCTATCGTTAAACAGTTAAAATAAAGATAAGTAGCAAAGAATTACTAGATGTATTTTTCCAGTTCCTTTTGTTTGCTGCCATTATTTAAGTATATGAACTTTTAAGTTTATCTTATATCCCATACAATATCATAACTACCATCGTCGGATGCCCACGGTTAATTAACACGTAATATAACCTAAATGTTACTGGTTCCACCGTAGGTATCCGACGATGCATAATTATTAGCATCATTTGAATGAATTTTGTACCTTAATTGATATCACAAAGTCTTAACTCTTTTAACTTGCATAAACCAAATTTTAGCGACTTAAAATGAAAGTTATAGATGACTTAAGAACTTCTTTAACTAATCAGATAATTAATGAACCATATACATGTACATCGGACAAATGATTTTAAAGAAAATGTTTATAACATGTTCTTGACCAAATCACCATTCTCCCAAATGAATCTGCACCAACCAGAAAATTCAAGTGGTCCGACGGACCAGCGGCTTTTAAAATTAGGTGGTCCTTGCCAAAATCAGGTGGTCTCGGACCAACGGACCACCGCTAATGTCGAGGCCTGGTTATACATTACATATTCAATTTAATTTGTTTATTTGTATATATGGCCGCTGGCCTAAACACAATTTATACAGCATCACATAAATAATTCATTGCATGTGGTTATGATCAGACTGTACAATATGATATTCAAAATAACAATTAATTATATACATGCATGTAACACTATTCAGAAATACTCGTACATTGTTCTCTCCCTTTAAAAGACTTAATTTAGATTGGTGTGAGAGAAACAATTTAGGGATGATTATGAGAGGTTTTGGTGATAAACCTGGATATTAATTGAACTCAGGAAGTAAATAAGTTTTAAATTTGCAAAATTCATTCAAGGTATATCTGTATTTATCTTCCTTGTTTTGAATGAAAATTAACACAATAAGCAATGATACCTGACACCCTGTAATCAATATGCTTTAACAATTGTGCAGGAAATATTTGATATTCTAGATTTTGTTCATGTAAATGTAAAATGTTTGAAGCATTCTCCCATTAATGTACTTTATTACCTTCTCAGTTGTTGATGTAGAAATGCTTTCCCATGGTTTATAGAAATATATCAGTGAATTATAAAACTGATAATTTCACTGTTTGAAACATTGAAATTATCAATTGGATAATTTCACTGTCGTGGTAAATGACTTCAAGTTGTATTATTATTTGGCGCGCTTTTTATTTAGTATTAGCTTTAAATGTCTTTTTCAATGTTTCTTTGCATATAATAAAAAGAAAATTTGTTTAGTTTAGTGTAAGATCAAAATATATTTCACGTCGTGAACACCAAAAGCTCACATTTCACTTGTGGCTGCGCCACTCGCGAAATATACCTTTTGGTGCTCACTCGGTGAAATATATTCCGATCATACACTGAACTAAACAAATATCCTCTATATATTTGTTATATATTAAGAATAAGATGTGTCTGTCAATACTTTCATTAGGTTTAGCATTAAAGAAGTGTAATTTATAGGCTGAAGAAGTATATATGATAATGGTATAATATATAATTACATATATATATTTATAAATCAGCTTGAAATGGTAGCAATGGAGAACCCATCAGATCTGAGGAAACAGTTATTTGTAGAGTTTGACGGTGAACAAGGACTGGACGAGGGAGGTGTCTCCAAAGAATTCTTCCAGCTCATTGTAGAGGAAATATTCAATGTTGACTTTGGTATTGTATTATTTATTATTTCATCATTTTACATCACTATGAACAATATGTTAGTATAACTTATCCACTGATTTGAAATATTTATATCTGTTAAAAATAGAATGACCAACAGCAACAAAATGACATGGATCTGTTGGGGAAAAAATATGTTTTAAAATGAAAATAGCTTGTTGAAATTCTAAAAAACAAACAGTCTAATGATTCTTATTAGAATGTCTATGGATAGTCTTTTTGAAACCTTAGAACAATATGACAGCTTGGTGTGAAAGGGTTGTATCTCCTTCTTTATTTAATATGAGTTACAACCCTTTCGCCAATGAAGCCATCAAATTCTATTTTTAATTTAATTTATTATATGTTAGTGATTTTGCTGTTACAATATGTGGGTCTTTCTGTTAGTAAAATATTTACTTAGAAAGAAAAATTTTAGATAATTTTTGTATGAGATACATGGAGCATTAACAATAATATTGACTAAGGACTAAATATGTTTGTTATACACAATAAGAAAATACATCTTGTTTATCATAGTATATATACATTAATATATATGTTATATATTTCAGGAATGTTTACATACAACAATGAGACACATCAGTTTTGGTTTAACTCGATGTCGTTTGAGAATGATGCTCAGTTTACACTGATAGGTATTGTACTAGGGCTGGCAATATATAACAGTACAATAGTTGATGTTCATTTTCCATCCGTTGTTTACAGAAAACTTGTGGGCAAGTTAGGAACATTCCAGGACTTGTCAGATGTAGACCCTGTAAGTGATTTCAAACTGTGTCCAATCTTTTCCTTATCTTAACAACTGATTTTTCTGCTTAATTGTTCTTAAGTTTCTCGTTTAGATTATCAAGAGTGTCTCAAGGTTTTAGTGGTCTTTGTTGAAAAGTTTTGGTTAAATTTATGTGATAAAGTGAAGGAAATTTTTAAAGTTTTAGTAAGAAACATTTAGGGTGTTTTAGATGTGGTCTAAAATCAGTTTGTTCAACTGATGAAATTAGGTCAATTATCAGTGCTGTTTTGTATGATAAAGCAGTTAAATACTTTACATTAAACAAATGGGGTGTCCGTGGCCAAGTGGTTAGGGTTGTTGACTTCAAACCACTTGCCCCTCACAGCTGTGGGTTCAAAAAACCTACAGGGACTTTGGAATCTTTCATCCAGCTAGCTTATGGAACGTCAGTGGTTCTACTCAGGTGCCCGTTTGTGCCTGAAATAATGCACGGAAGGGCACCCAAGGTCTTCCTCCACCAGTAAAGCTTGAACGTTTCCATATCACCTATACTGTGTCGGTGTGACGTAAAACTCAATCAAACAAACCAACATACATTAAACAAAAACTAAACATTGGTACCATATAGAGTATGTTTGAGTGAGTGTATAATAGCTGGGATATTTTACAGTGTCTGTCGAAGAGTTTACAGGAGATGTTGGATTATGAAGGTGAAGATTTTGAGGACGTGTTCATGCAGACATTCCTGCTCAGTTATAAAGATGTATTTGGCAGCACAATTACACAGGAACTTAAAGAAAAAGGAAATGAAATACCAGTCACACAGCTCAATAAAAAGGTAGGTGGCGGCATGGTCAAGTGGTTAACGCGTCAGGCTGGTAATTTAATGATCGCTAGCCGCGTGGATTTAAACCCCGTCAGGTTAGTCGTTGTTTCTTTAAGCAAGAAACTTTACACTCAATGCTTGAGTACTGGTTGGTTCCAGGAACCGATTTGAAAGTGTTTCTATAAGCTTATAGCTTCCTACACGATCTTCATTAAAATAAATTCTGTATAAACCAAAAAGGTAGGTAATCTAGTAATTTCCTATGATATTAAAAGTGGACTACTAACCTTAATTCTTGCGAATGTGTGTAAAAAAAAATTGCCCTGCTTTGAATTTAGAACAGTCTATTTGAATTTCATCAACAAAATAGAAAAATTGAGTTGGCAACAGTATATAGTGTAGTCAGACTGCACAGATCAGTTACCAGTTACCAGAGACTTAGACCTGTCTATACTGGTGGCAAATTACGTTTGGTTTCAACAGGTTATGGGTTAATTACGCTGAAGTTAAGATATAATAGTTTATATACATTTATTGCATTAATTTAATAATTAAATTTAGTGAAAAAGAGAAGGAAATGAAATTCATAACAGACAGCGAAAATTACTCTGTATCTTATAATAAGAGAACATGAACATGAATTATGACATTAATTAATTATAGGTTTATTGTGTTGAACTTCGAGGCCATTAATGTGTTTCTTCATTTTGGGGTTAGGAATAAGGGTGTAGAAGTTTAATAGTATTGAACCCCCCTGTAAGTGTTTTACAATTGCGTCTACTGTTTTGTAAAAAACAGTTTTTTTCTTTAGTGCAAACTACTTAATCCCCCCAGCGCCCTTCCCCTTGATAGTTGCATACAGCATTGGCACATGGTCCCATACTGTGGGATTGGCTTTCAGGTCTGTCACTCATCCACTTCCTATTTACCGACTTAGTTAAATTTTCGACATTAATGGTCAATAGTAAACATTTTTTGTAACATCACAGCCTCATGATTTTTGGTATACAAATGCAACCCAGCCTTTTCTGTCTTTGGCCCATTTTTGACATTTACAATACTGTATTCCTTTTTGACTTTCTTGTAGAATATGAAAATTGAAGAAATGTGTTACAGATGCCTAATGTTATATGTGTATGTAAATTATTTATATTTCAGGAATTTGTGGACCTTTATGCAGATTTTATCTTGAATAAGTCAATAGAGAAGCAGTTTCGTGCATTCCGGCGTGGGTTTCAAATGGTCACCAGTGAGAGCCCGCTCAAAATATTATTCCGCCCCAACGAGATAGAACTTCTCATCTGTGGTAGTGAGGTGAGTGTTAATTAATGTTTATTTGCTAGTTTTTAGCTCACCTGTCACAAAGTGACATGGTGAGCTTTTGAGATCGCTTTTCATCCGGCGTCCTTCTGTCCGTGGTCCTAAAACTTTTACTTTAAACGACATCTCCTCATAAACCGCTAAGCCAATTTTATCCAAACTTCACAGGAGTGTTCCTTTGGTTGTCAACTTTAAAAATTGTTCAAAGAATTTAATTCCAAGCAGAATTCTTTAGAAAACCGAAAGAGCTAGAGCTTAAATATCATGAAACATCATCTAGTCAGTGTCTACCAAGTTTGTTCAAATAAATGCCCAGTGGTCAAAATTGGCCCCGCCCTGGGGGGTCATTGACTTTCCTTATTTGTATAAAGTAAAAACTTAAAAAATCTTCTTTTAAACAAACCCAATGAGCTCGAGCTTAGATATTAAGCATGACACATCTTTTAGTGGGTGTCTACAAAGTTTGTTCAAATAAAAGCCCTGGGGTAAAAATTGGCCCCGCCCAGGGGGGTCATTGATTTTCCTTATTTGTATAAAGTAAAAACTTAAAAAAATCTTCTTTTAAAAAACCCAAATAGCTAGAGCTTAGATATTCAGCATGAAACATTTTCTAGTGGGTGTCTACCAAGTTTGTTCAGATAAAAGCCCTGGGGTAAAAATTGGCCCCACCCCAGAGAGTCATTGATTTTTGTGTCGCCTCTACGGAGTAGTGGCGACATATAGGGATCACTTCTCCGTCGTCTGTCTGTCCGTCTGTCCGTCTGTCCGTCTGTCTGTCTGTCTGTCTGTCTGTCCGTCTGTCCGTCCGTCCGTCACAAAACTTGTCCGGACTACTCCTCATAAACTACTGGTGCAATTTCATCCAAACTTTACAGGAATGATCAGTACCAAGTCTAGTTGTGCATATTGTCAGGATTTTCCGGTTCAATGATTTTTGTCAGAGTTATGGCCCTTTAATAATTTTTAATTTTAAAGTTTGTCCGGACTACTTCTCTTATACCACTAATGCAATTTCAATGAAACTTTACAGGATTGATCTGTAGCTCAAGTCCTTGCGCATATTGCACGGGTTTTCCGGTTGAATGATTTTTGCCGAGTTATGGCCCTTTGATAAAAAGGTTTCTTTTTCTGTGTGTTGCCAGATACACAAAAGCTTGTCCGGACTACTCCTCATAAACTACTGGTGCAATTTCATCCAAACTTTACAGGAATGATCAGTACCAAGTCTAGTTGTGCATATTGTCAGGATTTTCCGGTTCAATGATTTTTGTCAGAGTTATGGCCCTTTAATAATTTTTAATTTTAAAGTTTGTCCGGACTACTTCTCTATACCACTAATGCAATTTCAATGAAACTTTACAGGATTGATCTGTAGCTCAAGTCCTTGCGCATATTGCACGGGTTTTCCGGTTGAATGATTTTTTGGCCGAGTTATGGCCCTTTGATAAAAAGGTTTCTTTTTCTGTGTGTTGCCAGATACACAAAAGCTTGTCCGGACTACTCCTCATAAACTACTGGTGCAATTTCATCCAAACTTTACAGGAATGATCAGTACCAAGTCTAGTTGTGCATATTGTCAGCATTTTCCGGTTCAATGATTTTTGTTTGAGTTATGGCCCTTTAATAATTTTTATTTTTAAAGTTTGTCCAGACTACTTCTCTTATACCACTTATGCAATTTCAATGAAACTTTACAGGATTGATCTGTAGCTCAAGTCCTTGCGCATATTGCACGGGTTTTCCGGTTGAATGATTTTTGGCCGAGTTATGGCCCTTTGATAAAAAGGTGTTTTTTTCTGCAAAAAGCTTGTCCGGACTACTCCTCATAAACTACTGGTGCAATTTTATCCAAACTTTACAGGAATGATCAGTACAAAGTGGTTAGTCTAGTTGTGCACTGTCCGTCTGTCTGTCCGTCTGTCACAAAATTTGTCCCAACATGAAATTGGCCATCATGAGGCGACACATGTGATTACTGATCGCTCTTGTTCTTATTTGTATATAGTAAAAACTTAAAAAATTTTCTTATAAATAACAAAAATAGCTAAAGCTTAGATATTTATCATGAAACATCTTGAAATGGGTGTCTACCATGTTTGTACAAATAAAAGCCCCTGGTTTAAAATCGGTCTTGGCTCAGGGGCCTATATACAGGTGAGTGATTTCAGAGCCATCATGGCCCTCTTGTCAAAGCATTTATATTGTCATGAATGTATAACTCTAGTTTGCCTATACACCTGACCAGATAAAACTGTTATGCTATATTTGATACATTGGCCTTTAGGAACCTGGCATTATTAATGGAAAATTCTTAAGTCCAAGTGGAGTTTAAAGATTAGTGAGTTAAAACATTTGATCTGATTGTATGTAACTATTTCTATAACTTGCGTTATGTTAAATAAATACATAATTATTATTACTCTATTTACTAGATGTATTGATTATATTGTAAAAACTCCAGCAAAATAAGATGGAAGTAACCTTCTATCTATCTTCCATTAATGTCTATCCCCACGGGTATCAAGACATGTACATCTTGTGGAATAAAATAGACATTATGCTGAACAGGAATACAAGGCATTGTCTGTCTCACCTGTATGCCTGTCTATATTAATACAAACATTAGTGTTACAATCTAATTGAAACGTAAAACAGAGTTTTGGTTATTCTATGTTGTAGGACTATGATTTCTTTGCACTAGAGGAAGCTTGTGAATATGATGGAGGTTTTGACAAACAGTCAACAACAATCAGGTATGTTTCCATAGTAACTGTATACTTTATGATACTTTGATGAAAACAATATTATATGTGTAAATTAATTTTTAAAATGTTTCATTTTTCATAAGAATAGTATATCATGCTAAATTTAACTATTATATTTGTTCAGTTGAGAGAGTTGACCTATTTATCAGAAATAGGCACCACACTTATCAAGTAGACCCCCTCAGAACCTATTTTAATTCTTATATGATACTTATAATAGTCAAGTGCACTGTTGTACAGACAGCTCTTGTTATCTGAAGTGTTAATAATAGTTTACAATGGATGTATAAGAAGTTATAAGTTATTTAGACAGCATGATCTATATATTACAGACATTTCTGGGAGGTTGTTCACGGGTTTGGTGAGGAACAAAGAAGGAAGTTGATCCAGTTTACAACTGGCACAGACAGGGTACCTGTAGGTGGGCTCTCAAAACTCAAACTTATAATTGCAAGAAATGGCCCAGACTCTGAAAGGTACTGTAATATCTTGTGTTTGTTTATGTATGAGTTTGATGATAGCTTTACATATGATTGTTATTTCACAGTTTTGATGTTATAGACATTAAAACAGGAAGAAAACAATCATGTGATGAAAGAATGAAACCACAAATTCTTGATTGACTGAATTGTTGAAACTTCAATTTCTTGTTTAATTTTGAAACCACAATTTCTTGATTGATTGAATTGTTGAAGAAACAATTTCTTGACTGATATTATTTATACAACTTCTGAACTGATATAAATGTATAATGTCCTTAAAATCCCTTTTCTTGCTTTGTGGAGTTTGATTCTAATATATGTCTCTCCACTTCGTTCTCCCCATCCCCACTCATAAAATAGTCTTATATTCTGTTAAATGTCCTTAATTTCTGTTAAAATTATCAGTGAAAGAATAAGATATTATATTTGATATATTTCAGGTTGCCAACAGCTCACACCTGTTTCAATGTTCTTTTGTTACCGGACTATGAAAATAAAACAAAGTTAGAGGAAAGGTTGCTGAAGGCAATCACATACTCAAAAGGATTTGGAATGCTTTAAACTATGTCTGTGATAAAGTTTTGTTGAATGTGAACTTTGTGATAAAATGTTGAATGAATCGTATGTCAGTAACTTTACAGCACCAATATTATACCGGAATGTTAACACAAGTCTTTGAAACTTATCAAGGTTTAAACAGATCTATGAAAAAATTATGTTACACATCAGATTCAACTGGATCCATTAGTTTTTTTGTTTTTTACCAGTAGTGCTGGGTTTTTAAAATGATTTTGTTAACTTATGTAGGTTGTTTGATTGTGTGAAGCTGTGTCTGTGTGGTGATTTCTGTATTGTTAGATATGCATCAACCTGAAAGTTGCATTGTTTATCTTTTCATGAAATAACTCTTTATAATTTGACTTGAGCTCTGATATAGTTGATTGTTTCAGTATATCTGATGATATATACAATATTTGTTACTGTATTAAAGCACTTGTTACTATCATTATCTACTGCAGCTGTAAGAATAGAGATTATCACACTGGATACAATAGAAGTTTATAGTAAAAATAAGGATACATATTTACATGTTTTCACATGCACTATTGTCCATTACATATTGTTCTTCTATCTATTGTACACAACTGTTTGCTTTAAGCGGCCGTCAAGCTTTTCTAAAAGTTAAATATGCTGTTTTTCGATAAATCATGTTATATAATTCTCAAATCAAAAGAATGATGGTGAAAAATTAAATTTGTCCCTGATAAAATACATTAACAATAAGGAAACTTCTCAAAACCTCTAATCTACCTGTCCACTCTCTATATGTAAATTAGCAAAGCGGACATTTTGTTTCCCGATCACCTAAAAACAACCGTCACTGGCTATAAATAGCTCACAGGGACGCTGCGTTGTAGAAGGATTTAGCTATAATCTAATTTTCAATGATAAAATTACTGACATACTTAGTTTGAAACCATACAGAATTTGTTTTCCAGCAGAAAATAAAACCTAAAGGCTGCTTGACATTTCATTGATTAATATTTTAATTAGTTATTTGTATCATTTGGTACACTAAGTAAACAGTAAACGCCACTTATATTGATAGTTAGGGCCCTTGCAAAACAATATTTGTATATCTGAATATTGTTACAAACAACAGTCTGTAATGTTTTAGTAAGTAATTGTAAGGTATATTGGTTGAAGCCTTGTGTACATGTAGTGCACATATTTTTAATAATGATATTATACATTTACAGTAGAACTTTGTTAAGTCTACTCTAGGTTTAAGGGACTTGCATAAAATTTGACACAATGGGACTTAATCCGTGAATCGGTCGCCTCAAGTTAATGTCAAATTTCGAGCCATCGACTTTTACAAGTAAATTAGCAAAACACATACAAATTACAAAAGCATAACTTAAGGAAAGGGGATAATTAAACTAGCTTACTGTAAAGTAAATATATCTATCTCATCTGATTATTACATGGCACCAAGTCTCTGAATTTCTGAAATGAAACTAATTTGGACTTTTTAAACTTTTTTGGACTTTTTTAAAATAAAAATCAACATATAAAAAATTGACGCGTATATAGATTTAATTAAAGGATATATAGGGGTGGGGTGGATATCATGACTCACTTGTTTAGACACATCAACAAAAACTATCAATGTTTAACATATAGAAGTTCTACTGTATTGTATGATGATGAAGGAAGTTACACATTAGCCAGGTCCATAGACTTGGATACTCACCAAAATTGTTATACTATATCTAGTTTTATCACATAAACCAGTAGTATAATAAATTTACTTCATAAAACGATATTACAATAGTGTAATAACAAAATGACAAGACATCAATTGCGTTGCATATAAACATAATGTTAAAGTGCAAAAATGTTAACATTTCACTGTAGGCGTGTCAATGAAAAATGACTGTTAATCGTTCTTTACTAAATGTACTGAACACGTTGAATAAAAAATATATCATTCTAGCCAGAGGTTCGCACAATATGATTTTATTCAACTCGTTCAATGAATTCAGCATTAAATCTACACTCCTTCTATATCCTCTATTTATTATATGACCAAACTGAAATACCACTTGCCTGAAAATCTGAAGTATGTGAATACACTGAGCCACTGGTACTATGGAGTTTGATTATACCTGTTGTTTGTTTACCTACTTTTTAGCAAAGATAGATGCATAATACATTTGTATGAGTCCAACCCATAATTTTGATTTGAAAGTTCAATGTTGTTCAATATTTCTTTCAGAAATGTCAAAATTTTATTATGTATCATTTTTATTGTATGCTTAAAGTTCATTAATTTGATGACATCAGTGTTACTAGATTTGTAATTTTTATTTTATTTTACTGGCATCTATGTGTGCTTATATAATGTAGTTTATCATAATGAATCCTATGTTATATGTTAACCCTTAACCTTCCGAACTTATGTAATGGATTTGCCCAACTTTGTATTTGGAACAGTCCATTCAATGTTTAAGGGACTTCAATTACAAAATACAAAAGATGAGTTACCAACAGTATGGAGCCTGGTCATACTTCTCTAACATCACAGATGTTCATGCTAGACTGGCTCTATACGGGAGACAAAGCCTAACCCCTTTATGGCAGTTTAGTGGTTAATGTCTTGTTTTCTGAAATTGTTTCATTGTTAAACAAGGATTCATCCTGTATAGCTATGTATATTAACTAAGGAATAATAGTGTTTTAATATTGGTTTCAGTAGTATTTATCAGCTTTATAACACCATTTTTGAGTTTTGATACGTAGGAATGTATCTTCTAGTAAACTCACAATATCTGGGTAAAGTTGACGTATAAATAAATAAACTACCAAACATTTTAAGTCTGTTTAACTTAATATTCTCATACTTGACATGTTAAATAAATCTTTATATTTAGGAACATTAATGTCTGTAAAACTAACTATTAAGAGGTTAATACACGGCAGGAGAGGGCCGGAAGGTGATAATCGGCCCGTAAAATGAATAATGGACCCGAGGGCTTTAGCCCGAGGGCCATTATTCATTCAGGGCCGATTATCACCTTCCGGCCCTACTCTGACGTGTATTAATGTCTTTAATACACTTGGTAGATCTAATAGTAGCATTTTTTAAAAAAAACAACAACAGTTCTTTCGTTGAAATTCTTGTCTACTCTTCTACTGTTCTGTGCAGAGATGTTTACTGTTTGTGTGTTCAAAGCAGTAGAATCTAGAAGCAAGTTTTATTTTCTTTCTTTTTTTTCGGAAATAAATTTGTCGTATTATTTCTTCAAATTTCAATAGTAACAAAAATGTGTTTGTACTAAATACGCTTAAGCTCTCATAATAAAAATAAAGCGATTCGTGCTGACAACCTACTTTCACTTTTACAGTTAACTGTTTGATGACGTAAAATATGACGTCATTGTTTCAGTTTGTGCACGTGCACATGTTCTGCGGGCTGATAACTAGTTCTCGGCCCCGGGCCGCAAACTCATAATAGGTCACGTGACACTCATAATCAGTTGAAATCATAGGCAATTTTGTTACTATATATAGTAACAAGTGTATTAAGATAATTTTTATAATGTTGCATTTCTTGGATATAAGAATATACATGTATATAAAAGTATCTCTGTCCCAAGTAAAGAACTATTCATGTAATAAAGAAACCACTTCGTGATAGTAATCTCCATATAAATAAAAACTATATTACTTATTGGGTAGAAATATAGTGAAAACAATAGTAAATTCTTTTAATCTTGCATAAACGATAATTATGTATTATTGTTATAATTTAATTAATTATACCCCCACAAACGAAGTTTAGGGGGGGTATATAGGAGTCAGCTTGTCGGTTGGTCGGTCGGTCCACATCATGGTTTCCGGACGATAACTAGAGTTTGGAATGAGGTATTGTAATCAAACTTGGTATATAGCAACCTTATATGGAAACTCCGGTTGGTATTGCATTTGTTCCCCCTGGGGTCAAGGTCAAGGTCACCGTTACTAAAAATAGAAAAATGGTTTCCGGACAATAACTAGAGTTAGGAATGAGATATTGTTATCAAACTTGGCGTATAGCAAGCTTATATGAAGACCTGGGTTGGTTTTGCATTTGGGCCCTCTGGGGTCAAGGTCAAGGTCACTGTTACTAAAAATAGAAAAATGGTTTCCGGACAATAACTTGACTTAGGAATGACATACTGTTATCAAACTTGGTGTATAGCAAGCTTATATGAAGACCTGGGTTGGTATTGCATTTGGACGCATGTTATCATAGAATTCATCCACAAAACATTATCATGTTATAATTGTTCCCAAATGCCTTGGTAAAGATTTGTGCTTTTCAACTAAGGGATCAACGGTATCTTGACCTAGCAGTGATATGGCAATGTCTTTATATGAAACATTAAATTTAAAGTAATTAAATTACAAAGTTCTAAAGTAAAGTTTGTGTTTGAAAAGAGCTTACCTTTATATTTGTTCTTATTTCTATGAGAAATTACAGACTGTTGAAATGAGTATAGATGTAGAATTGTATTAAAAGACAAACTAAAATGAAAGTTATCTAGGCAAGCTTTAGGCTATTGCTATCCACAAAAGTAAGCTATATCATGTAAAAAAAAGCAAAATTAGCACCTACATGTACACCATTACTAATTGGGTAGAAATATAGTAAAAACAATTATAGATTCTTTTATATCTTGCATAAAACTTTTAAATTTGATTGTGAATCTATATAAATATATATTTCTTAAACTTTGCATATATTTTTTCTTTCTAAGTTTTATTTTACGCACCTCATGCCTGAAATAAGGCACCTAAAATTTGACGACTGTTCTTACTGCAGTAACAATGTAGAGTAATCATGTGACTTTTATAGTGTTAGAGTGATATAAAACTTAAACAAAGTTTACAATTTAGTAAACTTTATTATTTATATAACTGTACATTAAAGTAATGCTGTAAGTTATGGCTGTCAGAAGTTCTTATGACAGCCTGAGTTATTCAAGTGTAGAATTACATTACTAATCCAATCCTAGTACTGAGAGAAGTGTGCCAATGACAAGATGGGGGGAGTTCATTTGTTTATGGCAACTATGTGAACAGTTTGGGCTGCTATTTAAAAAGTTTACAACATAAGCATAGTTTACATATGTTGTGCTCTTGAAATACAATGCACCATGTGAAACATGCTTTTTTGAAACTGAATAAAGAATTTTGTTTATGTTTGCTTTGCTGATATATTTCTGTTGCTTTAATGTCTATTATATTTGAATGTCAACTGGTACACTATTGTATCATACTTGTCAATTATTACATTTTATATGCAAACTCTGAAGATAATTGTTTTATTGATAAATTATGTAAAATTTGATTCACTAACACAACATTTGTTGCTATATTAATGATAATTATATATATTTGTTGTGCAAAAACTTTGATCAAATTTTGGTGTAACCAGTTCAGTGCTGTCTACACTTGTTATACATGAGTGAGTGTTGGTTTTTTTACATCTATGTATGTTGTCAAGAATTATTGAATGTTTGACAATAAAAGATCAATTGTTTTTAAACTAAAAAGTTCATTTGTATTTTATTTGTCATATATCGTATTTACAACACTGGGATAGAATCAAGGTAAAAGGATATGTTTGATGATAAAACAACAAATCCCTCAAGTGTTTTAGTTTACTAATAAGTTACAGTCTCTACACTTCAAAATAGCAATCAAGAAATCACCTCAAAAACAATAATTTAATCAATTTGATCAATGATGCAATGCTGAACTAATAACGTATTTTCAGGTAAATCTGTCAAAACATCTGAAAATATCTTTAGCAAGGTTGCAATCTGATTCTTACAATATGTTTGTAAGTCAGGATTGACCTGTTCATCTTTATATGTCTGTGAACCTTTCTTCAATGAAAACAACGATATGTCACTATCATCTCGGTAACTAGATTCTAAACTGTCATCTTCCTCCAATTTATCATACTCATTTTCCTCTTCTACAGCAGCTGCACGTCTTACCTTTGCCAATGCACCTAGGTCTGGTCACAGACACTTATTTAGAAGCGAATATAAGGCATCTATAATGACATTACTCCAGTATATACTATAAATTTATAGTATATACTGGAGTAATGTCATTATAGATGCCTTATATTCGCTTCTAAACAAGTGTCTGTGGGTCTGGTGCGATTTTTCTTTCAACATACTTCTTCAGTTTTTCAGCATGGAAAGTTTTGATATTATTGTTACCTATGTCTAATAGATAATCTTGTTTGTTAACGACATGGGAAACTACAAATGGGCCTTTTTATTGTAACATGCAACAACTTATTGCGTTTTGTAGATATAAGAACCAGTGCTATACTTTTAGTGCTTCTTTAAAGTTCTAATATTGATAATAGTTCTAATACTACTGTTTTCTCTAACTCTTGTTGTGCTACCTTACATGTACTTTTTAATCTTTCCTGCAAATCAACTGCATACTTGTAAGTTTTCTTAACTTCATCATTCTCTGCTTTTCCTGACCATAACTCTCTCAATGGTAAACGAACCTCTCGTACTACATGTATATAACCACTGAAATGGCGAGAATCCTAAAATCTCTTGTGGAGCTTCCCGATAAGCAAACACTCATCCCAATCTTTAGGCCTTTCACTACACATCCGTTTCAACATCTGCTTTAAACTACCATTAAATTTCTCCACTAAACCATTACACATCGGATGATACGGTGTAGTTGTTAACTGTCTAAGAGTCAGCAACCTACTTAACTTATCCATAATCTGTGAAGCAAATTGTGATCCACAATCTGTTAGAAATTCCTCTGGAACACCTAATCTACTATGCATGTCAACTAATGCTTCGGCTACCCTTTTAGTCTCTATACTAGGCAATACATAGCATAGTCTACCATGGTCAAAAATATCTCGAGACTGACAAAAATGTCTAATCTCTTCTAATCTTTACAAGAAGGAATGGTCAATAAAACTCACCTAAGGCTATCACTTGTCTTCTTAACACAAAGATATTCTTCCAACAGCGAGTCATGCGCCACTTTTAACACAGTCTCCCTAAGATCATTTGGAACTACTAGGCTACCTGCCTACTTAAGTCACCACTTCCTGCCGTAAACTCTCTAAAAAAACATCATTTTTCTTATCTCAAACTTCACGTGTCCTTAACCTGTACAGTTTCTGACGGTACATTCCTCTGCTTTCCTTCTACATCATTCTAGTGTAGTATCTGCCAGCTGCTTCTCTAAAAACGCTACGTAAGTGAGGTGTAAAATATGTGAAAAAAAACTTGTAGTTTCTATGAGCTTTAACTCTGCGAGCAAGTTTCTACTGCTGTCAGCAACTGAAGCTAGCCTACCAAAATTTGATTATACAGCACTATCTATGGTACCGATAATTACATCATTTTTGGATTATCTACACATAGTGCTTCTACAGTTCCTCTGAAATACGGACAATCAATATCAACTAATGCCATGTCTTATCTGTGCTTAATACCATCAATGTACAAGTTTACATCGTTTGAACACTGATCTGCGTTTTCCATATTTCTTCGTACTATGAATCATGTACACCCAGTATTTCTCATTGTAACTATAGCTTTACCATTATATGTACATGTATCTCTAGTTGTCTGGAATAAACTTATAGTAACTGTACCCAAGTCTTCTATTTAGATATAACCGTGACCTTTAAATGATCTTAACCACAAAGTCAAATGATTGAATTTCGCTGAATATGACTTTCATACTTGGACAAAACAACAAGTGTGACTTGACCGACCTATATAAGAATTAAAAAGAAAATGAAATGCTGTCTTTTGCTTTAATTTTCTTGAAGAATTGTTCAAACTTTTTACAGTATATGTTTGCTTTCAGAAAAAGTAAAAAAAAAGGGTCGAGTGTGGCCTCCGCTCAGCGGTCGCTCTTGTTAACCCATTACTTCATGAGCATTTTGTGAAAAATGGCTGTTTTCATTGAAAAGTCTCCCGTTACAAGTTCAAATTGCTATAATACATGTACTATAAAAACTGCTTCAACACTAATCAAACTTGGCACAAATGTTGACTGGACCATTGCCCTTGCAACAACATGCTCAGGCTTAAATTTTCTGTTACCATGGCAACGAGGGGACATCTCAAAATTGCCAAAAATCACTATTTTGCGTTGATTTTTTCCATCAAAATTGATTTCAAAGTGCTGCAAGTTCTCAATGGATTGAGATAGAGTCAAATGCTTTTCAGTGTTGGTTACACGTTACCTTATGATCAATCTGGGGTCATTTACAGCCTCTCACAAGTCCAAAATTTTCTTGGCGATGAGGGGGACTCCGCCCCCCCCCCTTCAAACCCCCCAAACAGAAGGGGGCGCATCCCCCTTCTGGCAACCCCCTGATGTATCTTTTGGTTGGGGGGCCGCGCCGAAAAAGAGGTTACTTTTTTTAACACCATTTCTCAAACAAAAACAAGTGTTTGGGGCCTAAATAAGGCATTTTTTCATCATTTGAGACACCAAAAAAGGGGGGGGGGGTCGAAAAAGGCGTTAAAAGGCGTATATATGAAGTAATGGGTTAAGGGGTGTCCTGTAATGTTGGATCAGTCTACCACATACTCGTATCTACTAGTCTCTGCTGACAGTTATTCAAAATCAGATATTCCATTATGAGTTTTCTTTTATTAGGGTTTCTTTGATTGTTTTTTCTTTCTTTCTTTTTGGCAGAAATTGCATTGAGATGTGCGAATATCTGATTTCACGTGCTTTTCCAAACTCTTTGTCGAGTTGAAAATCCAGTATTCATGGCAGTTGTGGCTTTCAGTAGTAAAGCGGAGTTGTTGTTTTTTTACATGTATTAATTTCTGTATTAAATCGGATTTATTTTACATTTTACGTCACTACTGTACGTACATTGTCGAGCTCACATGTGTAATATCATAAAAACTGGTCACTCGTGTTCCGAGTTGCACTTGTCCAGTTGTTGTTTTGTCTCTTGTATATACATTGTATTTCTATGTGAAAAAAAATATAGTTTTATCCATTAATTTGTTTCTTTCCAATATTACCATCATCTGATCCCAGTTTTTCTTTTTTGTCCCGCTCATTCCTACGAGTATGACTCAAAATTAACTAGATCGTTGAACATATATTTCTCAGTTTACTTCATTTCTATTTGCATTGAAATATATTGACTATTTTTACTTAGGTAAATGAATTCATTAAACATACAAGACTTCAATCACGTTATACATGAACATAATATCATCGTGAAGATCTATGCGCAAAATGTTAATGTTGCACTACGTAGACGATGACCGCCCTAAAGACAGATCGACATCTATATGAAATATCAGATTATAAAATCGGTCGGTCTTGCAGTAGAAATATTGAGACTACAGTTTGTACTGACATAATGTACACTTAAATTTAAAGGCATTCCATTTCCAATCCAAATTAGCCTCTTTTCCCCAGTTAATACCCTTTAACTGCTTCAATTTTTAAGGAAAAAAAGTGAACTGCTCACTCACTCACTCACTCACTCACTCATCTAGATATATGTAATTAAAATGATAGATCCTTATTAACTTTTCTTTGGGTTCCATTCACCGTAGAATACTCTTCAAACTCGAGGCGCGCGATTGAAAAAAATTGGAAATTCTACTTTTCATTTCAATTGAATAATTATGTCAGGACCGTTTTCATTTGGAGGAGCCTCAACGGGGACCTTTGGTACAGGAACAACCGGTAAAATAGTTGTTCATTTAATTTAAAGTTGCAATAAATCATTATCAACTTGCCCTCGTTTCGACTAATTGAATTTTTCGGATACACATGACCTATCCGGTATACTGGTGCCTCATATTCCCGTGGTACTTAACTGTTTAACCCAGACAACAAAAGTTAAGAGGATAAAATTCTGGAAAACACAGTGAATATTGTAGGAGAGACATGTCAATTGCATCATAGTTTATTCCATTTAATGTTTGCATGTAAGCAATTATGTATACAACAATCCAATACACACCCATCTGCAGCTTTGTGAGTAAATTTGTGTTCTCATATTTCCAAGGCAATTACATTTTAACAGTTTCAAAAGCAAAACCAATATTAAACTTTATCTATTAGGACACCCATACCTAGGCTTATCTGAAAGGGGCGAATTTCTCTTTGGCATTTATCAAATACCTCAATGGTTGTTTAACAAAGAAGATTTTCTCAAAAGGTATGCAATCTAAAAGAAAAATGGTGAAATATTAAACAACCTTGCTTTAAATCTGAATAAAATATTTTGTTTTAGTTCTATATGTAATATTTCGATAAAAATACAAAATAGTAAAAGTAAAACTACTGGCAGGTTCATTAAGTCTAGGAGGCACTTTAGACTGTTTAAGCCTGATACCTTGGAAATATGGGTACCACGGAAATACGAGAATCCAGTATATGTCTTAATACCAAATATGAGTGATATCCGCGGATATCACTATAAATACCGAATATGATCTATATTTTACAAAGTAATAATTTTTTTATAAATTTTTCTTGATACTATGTTTTATAATAATAAAATGAATTTACATGCAAAATTGCGTTAAATTTGGCCAATAAATAAAAAAGTTATAAGTTATATTCGAATTACGTTCTATAAAAGTCATATCCGTTGCGGACAGAAGATACCGAATACGACTTATTTTTTATAAATTGATTATTTTATTATTATTTTTCTCGATACTATGGTTAATAATAATATTATGTTTTTACATGCAAAATATCGTAAAATTTGGTCCATAAATAAAAAAGTTATAAGTTATATTCATTGCGTTTTCTATATAAAAGGCATATCCGTTGCGGACAGAAGATACCGAATACGACTTAATTTTATAAATTGATTATTTTATTATTTATTTTTCTTGATACGATGTTTAAAAATAATAAAATGATTTTACATGCAAAATATCGTTAAATTTGGTCAATAAATAAAAAAGTTATAAGTTATATTCGTTGCGTTTTCTATAAAACGCATATCCGTTGCGGACAAAAGATACTGAATACGACTTATTTTTTTATCAATTGATTATTTTATTATTTATTTTTCTTGATACGATGTTTAATAATAATAAAATGATTTTTACATGCAAAATATCGTGAAATTTGGCCAATAATTAAAAAAGTTATAAGTTATATTCGAATTACGTTCTATAAAAGTCATAACCGTTGCGGACAGAAGATACCGAATACGACTTATTTTTTTATGAATTGATTTTTTTTCTCTCTCGATACTATAGTTAATAATAATATGATGTTTTTACATGCAAAATTTTGTTAAATTTGGTCAATAAGTGAAAAAGTTATAAGTTATACTTGTTGCGTTTTCTATCAAAGTCATATCCGTTGCGGACAGAAGATACCGAATATGACTTAAATTTTATAAATTGATTATTTTATTATTTATTTTTCAAGATATGATGGTTTATAATAATAAAATGTTAAATGCAAAATATCATTAATTTTTGTCAATAAATAAAAAAGTTATGTTATATTCGTTGCGTTTTCTATGAAAGCATATCTGTTGCGGACAGAAGATACCGAATATGACTTATATTTAATAAGTTGATAATTTTATTATTTATTTTTCTCGATACAATGGTTTATAATAATAAAATGTTAAATGCAAAATATCGTTAATTTTTGTCAATAAATAAAAAAGTTATATGTTATATTCGTTGCGTTTTCTATGAAAGCATATATGTTGCGGACAGAAGATACCGAATATGACTTATATTTAATAAATTGATTATTTTATTATTTATTTTTTCTCGATACAATGGTTTATAATAATAAAATGTTAAATGCAAAATATTGTTAATTTTTGTCAATAAATAAAAAAGTTATATGTTATATTCGTTGCGTTTTCTATGAAAGCATATCCGTTGCGGACAGAAGATACTGAATATGACTTAAAGATCATAAAGTTTTTTCTCTCCATACGATATTTTTTCCATAATAAAATGAAATAATATGCCAAAAATGGTTAAATTTGATACGTAGCGGAAAAGAGATACCGAATATGACTTTGTAAGTGACATATATCGCACGCTCTGTATGAATGTCATATCCGTGGCGGACAGGAGATACCAAATATGACTTATATTTTATAAATTGATTATTTGTTTATGAATTGTTTGTCAAAACGATGTTCTATAATAATAAAATGATTTTACATGCAAAATATCGTTAAATTTGGTCAATAGGTGAAAAAGTTATAAGTTATATTCGTTGCGTTTTCTATAAAAGTCATGTCCGTGGCGGACAGGAGATACCGAATATGACTTATAGATCATAAAGTTTTTTGTCTCCATACGATCTTCTTATAATTAAATAAACTAATTTGCCAAAAATGGTTTAATTTGATACATAAATAAAAATTTACATGTTGTCTTCGTGGCATGTTCTAAATAAAAGTCATATCCGTATCGGAAAGAAGTTACCGAATATAACTTTTATTTTATAAATTGATTTTTGTTTTATGATGTTTTCTTGATACGATGTTATATAATGATACAATGATTTTACACGCAAAATATCGTTAAACTTGGTCCATAAATAATCAAGTTATAAGTTATATTCGTTGCGTTTTCTATAAAAGGCACATCCGTTGTGGACAGAAGATACCGAATATGACTTATTTTTTATAAATTGATTATTTTATTATTTATTTTTCTTGATACGATGTTTAATAATAATAAAATGATTTTAACATGCAAAATATCGTGAAATTTGGCCAATAAATAAAAAAGTTATAAGTTATATTCGAATTACGTTCTATAAAAGTCATAACCGTTGCGGACAGAAGATACCGAATACGACTTATTTTTTTATGAATTGATTTTTTTTCTCTCTCGATACTATAGTTAATAATAATATGATGTTTTTACATGCAAAATTTCGTTAAATTTGGTCAATAAGTGAAAAAGTTATAAGTTATACTTGTTGCGTTTTCTATCAAAGTCATATCCGTTGCGGACAGAAGATACCGAATATGACTTAAATTTTATAAATTGATTATTTTATTATTTATTTTTCAAGATATGATGGTTTATAATAATAAAATGTTAAATGCAAAATATCATTAATTTTTGTCAATAAATAAAAAAGTTATGTTATATTCGTTGCGTTTTCTATGAAAGCATATCTGTTGCGGACAGAAGATACCGAATATGACTTATATTTAATAAGTTGATAATTTTATTATTTATTTTTCTCGATACAATGGTTTATAATAATAAAATGTTAAATGCAAAATATCGTTAATTTTTGTCAATAAATAAAAAAGTTATATGTTATATTCGTTGCGTTTTCTATGAAAGCATATATGTTGCGGACAGAAGATACCGAATATGACTTATATTTAATAAATTGATTATTTTATTATTTATTTTTCTCGATACAATGGTTTATAATAATAAAATGTTAAATGCAAAATATTGTTAATTTTTGTCAATAAATAAAAAAGTTATATGTTATATTCGTTGCGTTTTCTATGAAAGCATATCCGTTGCGGACAGAAGATACTGAATATGACTTAAAGATCATAAAGTTTTTTCTCTCCATACGATATTTTTTTCATAATAAAATGAAATAATATGCCAAAAATGGTTAAATTTGATACGTAGCGGAAAAGAGATACCGAATATGACTTTGTAAGTGACATATATCGCACGCTCTGTATGAAAGTCATATCCGTGGCGGACAGGAGATACCAAATATGACTTATATTTTATAAATTGATTATTTGTTTATGAATTGTTTGTCAAAACGATGTTCTATAATAATAAAATGATTTTACATGCAAAATATCGTTAAATTTGGTCAATAAGTGAAAAAGTTATAAGTTATATTCGTTGCGTTTTCTATAAAAGTCATGTCCGTGGCGGACAGGAGATACCGAATATGACTTATAGATCATAAAGTTTTTTGTCTCCATACGATTTTCTTATAATTAAATAAAGTAATTTGCCAAAAATGGTTTAATTTGATACATAAATAAAAATGTTACATGTTTTTTCGTGGCATGTTCTAAATAAAAGTCAAATCCGTATCGGAAAGAAGTTACCGAATATAACTTTTATTTTATAAATTGATTTTTGTTTTATGATGTTTTCTTGATACGATGTTATATAATGATACAATGATTTTACACGCAAAATATCGTTAAACTTGGTCCATAAATAATCAAGTTATAAGTTATATTCGTTGCGTTTTCTATAAAAGGCACATCCGTTGTGGACAGAAGATACCGAATATGACTTATTTTTTATAAATTGATTATTTTATTATTTATTTTTCTTGATACGATGTTTAATAATAATAAAATGATTTTAACATGCAAAATATCGTGAAATTTGGCCAATAAATAAAAAAGTTATAAGTTATATTCGAATTACGTTCTATAAAAGTCATAACCGTTGCGGACAGAAGATACCGAATACGACTTATTTTTTTATGAATTGATTTTTTTTTCTCTCTCGATACTATAGTTATAATAATATGATGTTTTTACATGCAAAATTTCGTTGAATTTGGTCAATAAGTGAAAAAGTTATAAGTTATACTTGTTGCGTTTTCTATCAAAGTCATATCCGTTGCGGACAGAAGATACCGAATATGACTTAAATTTTATAAATTGATTATTTTATTATTTATTTTTCAAGATATGATGGTTTATAATAATAAAATGTTAAATGCAA